GTTTTTTTAATTAATTTTTCCATTGATGATCATCTTTATAATAGTACTTTTAACTCTTCAGATCTGTACATTTTTCTAATAATCCCAGCAGGGCCGGATTAAGCATACGTGGGACCCTAGGCCATTCAAATTTTTGGGGCCCTTTGATTAAGTTGTTTTTTTTTTTTATATTTTTTATTTATTCAAATATAAAAGTACTTATATATCTTTTCATTTAAGACAGCATATTTAAAATTAAAATAAACAATAATAAATTAAATTTTACTTTATTTTGTTAAATTAGAACTAAAAAATATTTTGAAAAAATTTGAAATTGATTTTTGATAAAAAAATTATCATAATCATTGTTTTTCTTATTTTAAAATTTATTTTCAAAAAATCCATTTTAAGGGGGCTCCTAATCATTGGGGGTCCCAGGCTATGGCCTAGTCTGACCTAATGGGTAATCCTGCACTGAATCCCAGTAAAAAGTGAATGGTTTAGTAAAAACGTCATAATCTTAAAATAGACATTAAAAAACAATTTTTTTAATCTGTCTCATTTTCCAGTACCATCTACTCTAATAAGTTTCACATAATATTTGGAAAAAAGTATAAAGCTTGGTAACACTCATAATACAGTATGTCCACACACCTAATACAGTACCTATGGACAACTGAAAAATGGAATATTTAAACACAAATTACAAGAAATGTTAAAAAAGGGCCTCTATAAACATTTTTACAACCATTGGCAGGTTTAGCAAGACTATCGAAAACCAACATTTTTGGTCAAACTTTTTTAATCTCGGTAATGGATGTCGGGCAATCTGAGTGCATGACATTTTTAAATATCCCCATAGAAAATAATACGGAGGTGACAAGTCTGGACTTCTTAGAGGCCAGTTCTTTGGAAAACACGCAGTCAATAAATAACTCTTTAAAGAAATAGTTAATGCAGATGTGTGCATAATGGCTCCATCCTGTTATTTCCACAATTTTTCTGCAGGTTCCAACAGAAAAATAAATTACATGACAATATCCTAATATGCTGAACTGTAACTTATGCTCTCAAAGAAAAATGGCCCCACAATTGATTTACATGAATTTCCTCGTTTTTTGTTGGGTTGCATTTTATTTGCTTTGTATTATATATGAAAAATTTTAACTTTTTTTAATTCTTATATGCATAAAATAAAAATTTTAAAAATCTAGCCCACAAAGAACAAACCAGTTCATGCAGAAAATACTTTATTTTTTTAAATGGATAAACATTTTATAGAGATGAGTATAAATGATATAAAAATAACTTTCAGCATAGGCAGTGAAAAGACTAATTTAGAACAATGAAGTAATATGTCAACAATTAATTTCATATAATAAATCCAAAAATCCTAGCATCCATGAACATAAAAAACTTAGTGAAAATAAAATACACAATATTAAATTTTTCAAACAAACAATTTAAAACATTCCTGTAAATAAAACAAAAATTAAAAAATACTAATTTTTAAAAAAAAGTTATAGCAAAACCAATAAAAAATATAGCATATATATGACATATTTGTTAAAAATAGAATTTAATAATACAAGAGCCTTAACTGGCCGAACTACACCGAATACATGATTATGAACTTGAAATACATGATTGAGGAATTAAATAAATTTCAAGCAGCTTCTTATGTTACCAATAAACTTTTACTTTAGTATTTTAAATCTAGCTGCCATTTCAATCCTCTAACTGAATTTGGAACCATGAACTGAATTTTGAGTGCAACTTAGTTACATTCCTATAAACAAGATTTCCCATATATGTATTTAATGAAGAAATTTAGCCGAGCAAAAAATTTTTGCGCAAATTTTCCCAACACGTAAATCATTTAAGGGATTAAGCAAAACACAGCAGGAACATTATATAAAAACTCTTTTATGATACTTTTTTAATATCATTATCAGATGTGGCAGTATTCTAGTTTCCTATTTCCTAAATAGTTCAAAACATTTTTGTTTCATAGGTAAACAAAGATATATGTTTTGCTCTTTACAAAACAAACTAAATCAAATTTTAATTCCATTCAATAAAAGTAATTGGTCACTTAAATTAAGCAAAACTATTTTTCACTACTGATTTTTTTTTCATATTAGAAAATCGTTTCATGAACTATGTGTAAAATTGCATTTTAAAAATGGCACATTTCTGATATCAAGCAGTCAACATTTAGCAAAAGGCCAAAACAGTGCTTATTTGTTTTCTTATTATAATTGGCTATATTTAAGAAGAAGAATTGCTTTTTAATGATGCTTTTAAGGAACTATAAGATGTTATTTAGTTAACAAGGTTGGAAGCCTTTTTCGAAAATCAAAACCTCAATTTAATAGATTGTAAAAGAAAAATAAAGATTATTTCATTGATAATGATCACGAATGAAAAGTGAAAATTCTCCCCCTCATTGTAGGGGCTAAAAATGGGACCAAACATTTTTGTAAGTTTAATTTTGTATCAAGAATGCATTGATTTCTGATACAGGCTCCAAAATTTAACAATTTAAACAAAAATAATCAGTTTCGAATCAGAGAATCGAAAAATAAAACTAAGATTTTAATTTTTTTTTTTTTTAGTTCAAATGTTTCAGTTAGCCATTAAAATTTTATTTTAAAGCTTTTGTTATCATCATATACTTTTTTCATTAAAAAAGTTGATACGTAATTGCTGTCTCAATTTGGTCCATGGTGTAATCTATTAACCTCAATTTATCTCTTGTAAAAAAAATAAGTCTCGAATGCAGTTCATTTCTAAGTGTATAGATTTTAAAAACTATAATATTTTAATATCATTCAAGAATAAGTTCATGTTTAGGTTAACTTTACAGAACTATAGTATTATACAAATTTAAAAAAAGTTAGGAAATTCTTGACTTACCACTTCACTACATTGTTTGAATTTTAACAATTATTAAATGATAGTTTATAATTTCTGCAAAATCAGAGGCTGAAAAATATTACCCTTTACACTTTCAACAAGGAAAATAAACTTTTAGAGTACTTATTGATAAAATGTAAATGAAGAAATACAACTATTTAAAATCTCAGTTTTAATAACAGATTTTAATAAAATCAACGCCTAACATTAGAGGCATTAAAATTAATATAAATAAACAAGTGCCAATATACCAATAAACAAGTGCCATTTATTTGATATGCTACATTACAAAACAAGGCAAATAGCTTGTTTCAGTTCATGTCTTTTTCTGAAAAGTGATGGTTCCATAATTTAAATCCATAACTTATTGAGTTGAAGAGTAAAATTAATTTCATTATAAATTTAGAATACACACAATCATCGATGACAAAAAGAAACTGGAAGAGAATAGAGAAGAAAATTCAAGTTCATTATTAACAAGTGTAAAACTAATAAAGGGTGAAATAAATCACTTTTTTAAAAAAGTAAAATCCACGATTTAAAAAACTATAAAAAGCTGCACTTTATAAACACTGTAAAAGTATTCAATATTATATAAAAACATGGACAATCAGTTTTTCTTTTGAAAAATCTTAGCTTCAACATTTATATTCAACATGCACTATGAAATGCTTTTATTTGTACATCAAACATAGATACAATACTTTCACATGAAACAAATTTTACATTATATATTTAATTTATATTTGAAATTATTACATTACTTCTTTATCAAATTTATGTTTTGCAACATCTGTTGATAAAGAATTTTAATGAGAAAAAGGTCATTAGGTCTTTATATGACCTGGAAATTAATGTTAGCAAATAAATTTCAAAATTTTATTGTTTCAAAAATAAAAGAATACACATAGCAGGACTCACTAAAAAGCTGCCAATTTGTGTAAAAAAATAGATTGACAAATATTTAGCTTAATTTGATAACTAGTATACAATTACATATTAGCCTTTTTAAGCAAATTAGCTAATCTTCAATACTGTTATATTAAAATGGGCATTTCAATATAACAATATTTTTCTTAAATTTGAAGTTCTACAGAAGAGTTCTACAAAAACCATAATTATCTACATAAAATAAATTTAAACCTTAATGTATTGGTACCAATTATGAAACCATTATGTTTCATTAAAAAATTTCGGTAAAACAAAATTTCAATCATTATTCATACTTAAAAATAAGTAAAATAAACAAATTATTAACCTAATTTCTTCTTAATTTTGTTATGAAAAAATAATGCAAATAAAAAATGATCCAAACTTGCAAAGATGTAGCTTAAAACACTTTTTGAAAAAAAGAAGACAAAAATGCTCATATAAAATAAGAAGTTATGTTAAAACCAATTTGTTTAAAAAAGAACAACAGCTGCTGTAAAATTCAATATAAGGAAATTTTAAATGACTATTTTTTATAAAAAGATAAAATAGCATTATTCTCATTATGAGAAAAAAAATAGCATTACTAAATAAATTCCTTCGTTAATATTGCATTTTTTTAACATAAATAAGACTCAAATGAACTTACAAAGCATGCCAAGAAAAAATTTGCCATTAAAATCTCTAAAATTAACAAATTTGATAGTAAAGAAAAAGTAATGTATCTCAAAGAGTGGATTAGTTTATTAACACATGAATACAACAAATTTCTAAAGAAATTAAGTGCAAAACAAGTGAACAAAAATTGTATTCAAAATCAAGTTTTACAATTTAATTTTTTTTAATATAAATAATACCTTGGAATAAAAATTGTAAACCTCTATTTAAACAATAAATAAAACTTGTTCCTGTATTTATAATAAGTATCACTTCAAAAAGTTTAATTATATTATATGATTATTAAAACTTTATCAAAATACGAGAAAAGCTAAGCTAAGTTTGAGAGATTTGAATATGAGATTGTAAAAAATATAGCTATAGAGTTATATTTAAGGAAAAGCGTATTCCAGTTTGTAACTAAGATTAAGATTCGATTTGTTAAGTAAACTTCTTGATGCAGTTCCACAATGTGATTGCAGAAAAAAAATAATTTTAATAATTTCCACAGTAAATGCAGAAAAAAAAATTTTATTAAATATGTAATTTTTTCATCTTAGCACAATACCAGATAAAGAGAACATAAAAAAAAATCTTGAATATAAAAACATAACACATTCAGAGAAATTGAGCAAAGAACTAAATGCAAGAGTATAAAAATTTCAAAATTAAATGCATTAACAAGTATTTAATAAAATATTTTTGACAAAATTATTTACTACAGTAAAAAAATAGTAAAATGATTTGAGAATTGTCAAAAATAAATTTAAAAAAGCCTCTCTAATGTCATTGTTTTCAATAAAAACTGAGCATTTAAACTAAAAACTTTTAAAACAGAAAAAATATAATTTTTTTATACAGCATAAAAAAACTCAACCAATAGAAAATTCAATAAATGAAACAAAATACTTTTGTGTGAAAAATAAAACATTACAATAAAAACTTATACCAGAACTGTGTTAAACTTGAAATCGTTTTTTCAAATATTGTTCGTTACATAGAAAATATGAGATAGTATATCAGGGATGTTTAAACCATGGTGCTTTCATCAGTTCTGATATTATGGGAAGCCACTGATCTTCATTATTTATGTTAATTTAATTTATTAAACAATAGTCAATTATTTATACATAGATTTAATGTGAGTTACACGGCACATATTAATTTGTCTGAACAAAATTTGGTATCTAGCAAACATACTAAAATTGAAAAAGGTTTCCCACCTCTGCAGTACAAGATTAAAATATTAATTTCTCAATTTAATATGAAAATATAAGTGTTCTGGTCTTAACAATAGTATAAATAAATTAAATCAATACAAAACTAAAGTCCAACTGATTTATAAAGTAAAAACAAGCATAAAATTGCAACAACAAAAAAAGAAATTCTTTTTTCCCTTGTTTTGAGAAAATTACAATATTTGGAAAATTGTGAATCCGAGAATCTCATGCCTATAGGAAGAATATGAATATCATATGTATTAATAAACATAAATCATGATTAATGTTTAGAAAAAATTAAGCTTAAACCTATAACAAGCATTTAAGAAAAATTATCTAATTTTTAAATCAATTATTTAAAATTAGAATGCAGAAAGGGCAACACATTCTTATTTAAAAAAAAAATTCTAAAATTATACATGAAGAATCCCTGATTTATTTTTAAGTGTATGAGACATTATTGTTCACTTCAAAATCATAATCTTTTATGTATAAAATTCATAATTTCTTTTGCATCATTTAAAGATCAGCTATACAAAAAAAACTTACAGAAACCAATATATAGAATTCAACATGACCTTTTTTATAACATCTAAAACACATTAAATAAAATCTTATTAAATTTTAAAGTAGCATCATAATAAAAAAAGCACTTATAGTAAACGCAACGCAATTTAATTACACTTACCATTATTTAGAATAATTTTTAAAATTTTATTATTGCTGCTTAAAAGATATTTAAAATGAATAGTGGCCAATTTGTTTTACTTCTGATGATTTTTTCAACATATTTAAAGCAGTAGGGAAACAATTGAATTAAACAGAATTTTATACAAAAACTCAGAAGCATCTTAAATTGACCCTGTCTGTAAGGTCGTTTATAGACATGTTAAAATTATTTAGACATTAAAAAGTTAAAAAAATATTGAATAAAATTTTGCAAACTAAAAATAAGAATTAAAACATAAATCATGCTACTGCATAATAATTTTAGACTTAAATTGGAAAGATGGTAACCTCTGGCAATATAGTAAAAGTAATTAAAATACAAATTTGAGTGCCAAATCAATTTTAAGAAAAAACTAAACAATAGATTAAAATTTCAACTCCGTAATTAAGCATGTAATGCTAATTAACAAATCTATTTAAAATAAAATAACTGCAGTGTTCCCCTCTTATTTTACATAATCTTTGTAACCAGGATAAAATATTACTACAGCAATTATATCAAATATAGAAAAATAACATAATACATTTTATAGCCAATAAGTAATAAGCCATTTAATGAACATGACTCACATTTGGTGATTTTCAAATTGACCTGGACAAAACAAGATTATACAGTGAAACCTCTTGGGAGCAACCGCTCAGTTCCACAGTAAAACGGTCGTAAATGGAGGTTGGTCGTCCTTAGGGCTTACCTTCATTGACTTCAAAATATTATGGAAGGTACATGATTTTTCGCAAATGATTTTCATTTCAGTCAATGTAATTTTGTTGTGGAAATGCCACTTGCGTTGACGTCATGAATACTGAATCGATGGATATAATTTAGCATCAATAAAAATAATTCCTACTGATATAATTGTGTGAAAACATTTAACTAAATTTACCAATTATGAATGAGAGAAATTTTTGAAATAAATAAACTACGTTTTTTGTTTAAGTTTGCATTCAATTTTTTATCATAAAAATTAGTTAGCTTCTGTTAGAGATGCTCAGTTTTTTCTAAAAAAACTTTTTTTCCAATTTAACTTTCAACTCTAAAAATAAATCATTGATAGGGCACTCAGACTACAACATGAGGTTGAAGATCTCTTTCAGAGATCATCAAAAAGAGCTCTCTAAATAGGAGACTCATGCAATATTTGTAGTACATTTTAACCTACTTATTTGTTTTGTTAAAAAGTTTTGTTTTAATATTTTTTGTGTTTCCTTGTTTGACCTTTCCCGCATTTGGTGCAGACGTTTGCCAGGTAGCTGGGAGAGGTTTTGATGGTCTCTCATAAAAGTTTTCTTTAACACAAGGTCTATGGAAAAAATTCCATGCCTCCCAAAAAAGGTCGTAAATAGAGAGGTCGATACATAGAGGTGGTCTTTCTTGGAGGTTTCACTGTATATATTAACTATGTAAATATACTTGTGTAGATCATAAAAGAAAATATTATATAATAAATATGTTTGCGTTAAATCCTACTAATTAGGCCCATGAAGCAACAACTTGTTAATATTTTATGTTAATTCCTTTATTATGTTAATTCTTTATGTTCCGTTAAGTGACAAACAAACTAAACTAAAACTAATTGTTCTCAATAAAACTAATAAAATTCATCTACAGAACTAAAAAAACATGCATGAAATACAAGTACTTAAATGATGTATTTGATAGAACAGGATTCAGTTTGCTTATAGCAATAATTATGTTGAAATGCAGGTAAAATGCAAATTATATGAAAAAATACTAATATATATGTAATGTTAAATCAAATTTGTTTCAAATTTAGACAGAATTAATAGAAATTTCTAATAAGGCATATTTAAACATTTTTCAAAATTTGTAACAATTATATAGTGAAAAAAAAATATTAATACAAAAAAGATAAAATGTAAAAATGTATTACACAAATAAACATTTACAAATCATGTGAAAAAACTCAGATGAAAAATTACATGATTATTTAGAATGGATAATACTATTTGCACTAAGTAAAATGGTAAAAAAAAAAACTGTTTAGTAAATGAGGAATATATTGTTCAATGAACTAATGGAAAACTCAATTATGAATAGAAAGAAATGAATAACATACACAAACACATTTTGTGCCCAGGTCCCAACTTTTGGGTCATTGAGAAAAACTTTTCAAGTTGTAACAGCATTAATATTTTAATGTTTAAATCTTAAATTTAAAAGTTAACTCCAAAATCAATAATTCAAATCAATAACTCAAATCAATAATTAAAATCTATATATATAAGACATAAATTGGACAATAATACTTTTAAATTCCTTTCTTCTTACTCTTATCAAAATGATGGGGTGAAGTTACAACTTTTATTTCTTGAGCTCATGATATTTCCAGGCTGGAGTGCTCCAAAGTAATGCATAAAAAAGATTAAAACAATCTATTTCTTATACCTGGAATTGAGTTTCTTTCTCAATCTATATGCCCGATAGCAATACCAGACTATTTGTAATGGATTTAGAGATAGTTTATTTTAAGCTAGATATAAGCATTAATCAAACATGTATATCTACGATAGATCCCAAAATAAAAATGAATACAAATGTTGTACATGCACTTTGTTTTATATAATTTCCTTGAATAAAAAAAATATACACTTTATGACTGTTTTCTTCAAAATAATGCGACTTTTAAGGGGTTGTTAAGAAACCTTAATTTTTAGAAAATTTTCAATACTTAAAGTATTTTTATACCACTATTTTGAAAAATCTTTCCCAACCTCCATAAAAGTTGGCAGCTGAGCATGCATATAATTCTAAACAACATGAAAAAATACAAAGAATGAAGTGTTTTTTCATGTCCTTTAGCTTTAATGATATATAGCACAAATTTAAGTCCTTCTTCACTTGAATATGCATAGCGTTTTGAAATTCTTAAGTATCTGAAATTTATTTCACAAAAAACACTTTGATTCAATTAAGTATTTTGAATGTTATTTATTCATAAATTTGTGCATCAACTTCTGAATTGAAAAAAAAAATAGATTTTGATTTTGACTAGTAAACAAGCACCTAAAACCAATTTTAGAACATAGCAATACTTAATTGCACATTAAAATAGATAATAAAGATAAAGAACAAAAATAAAAGTTAAAAGAGCTCTTAACTTTTCATTAAAAATTATGAATCACACAAAGTTAAATATACTACTAAATCTCCAAGACAAAAAATGTCACAAGCAAATGAACACTTTGCAACGAAATATAAATTTTGCTTTAAATGCTTGCACCTCATATAAAATACTTTTTATTTTTAAAAATATATACAATGCTTAAGAAAAATATATATAAAATAAGCACCAAAGATTGTCAAAAATATCAAAACACACTTAACTATTTACATGGTCTATTTTTGAATAAACAGTAATGACCTGAATTCTATGCAAGATAATGACAGAAAAATGCAAAAGATCAATGAATATTGAGCAAGTGAAGCAGTCGAAAATTGCACAGAAGCTTCTACATAAAGAATATTCAAAAGGCCAAAAGGTCATCAGAGGTCATAATTTCAATAGTCACAACTCCAGGTTTTTTAACATCTTTCTCTTGCAATCGACCATACAACTCTACTTCTTTAAGCACAGGTTCTGGATTCAAAGGTGCTTCAACAGAAGTTTTCCCTAGGCAAGTATCCATCACAACATTACTATTCCAGATCTACAAAAATTAAAAAAATCTAATCAACAAAACTTGAGCTTGGCTAAACAAGTGGTAGTACTGAAATGAACAGTTTTCTAGGAAGTCTCGCTCAAGTGTCTAGGAAGTCTCGCTCAAGTGAAATGAAAATTTCTTGCAAATGGATTTTACTGATATATTATAATTATTTTATTAAAACTGCCTCATGATTATTACTATATTGTATTTTAGTAATACTTTTATATACTGATTATAAATTTGGATGAACTTTCGACAGCTCTTCGTAACTTGATTACATAAACATTGATGTCAGAAAATATTTAAATTGGCTAATTTTTTCATAGAAAATTACTTCAATGTGATTTTTAAAACTTAATTTTGTTCTTTGCTTTGTTATAATAACATACTAAATGCATATTTAATAATAATGTTAACTTATTGAATTAAAAAATATTCCTAACGTAGAAATGCTGCACAAATTATTGTTTCAAATTAGTAAATTAAGTAAAAAATAGTTATTATCTAAATATATAATAGCTATTTCAAAAGTAAGTTTTTTTCATTTTTACAAATACAAATATGCGTATTTTTTCTATAATATTTACATCATTTTAAAAGTTTAACATCCATTTTTTACATTATTACCAAATCAGTGGTTTTATTTTTGTATATGCTGTGACAATTTTTATGTGTACGAGCATGTCATATCCACTTTTCTCCATGTTTTTGACAAATAATTGAACCTCATTTTCCATTCATTGCTGAAGTGTGTATATTTCAAATCAAAGAAGTTTGACTTTATATCTGCTGGAACCAGGGTTGGCTTTTTGCCGGCAAAAATTGGTTTTTGCCATGCCAGTGGCAGAAACTGGTTATAACCGGCAAAAACTGGCAGAAACTAAAAAAATGTCGATATTAGTTCTAATAATCGCTTAATGACATTTTGTTTAAGTAAACTGAAAAATGTAACTCCATGTAACTATAACAAGCTTTTTAATTCATTGTTTGTAAATATATATTATTTTGCTTATATTAAATATAAAAAGTGCAGTATATCAAATATTTATATAAAATAAAGAATAAAGTAATGTAATAATAAATATAAATAATAGATTTTAGTTTATTTTATTAAACTCTGAAATTCAGTAATTATTATCATTTAACTCCTAACATAGTTGAATAGAGCAATTTTCAAACAGTTTTTTTCTTTTCAAGACATAATTTGCATGGCAACAATCCAATTATTATAATAGTAAAAGTTTTAATCTTTGCTGTATGTAAGAGAAACTGCATTGAAACTTGTTCTTTGTTATAGATTACTGTAGAGTGCAAACAATGTAATATTTGATTTTGAGTGGTGATAATTTTGTAAATAAATTGTACTTAGTTTAACATTTAATTGTTGTTTAACATTTAATTGTTTTCTATGAATTATCCATTGTATGTCAATCTCAGTACTTACTTTTATGTCATTTTCTGAATTTCTACCAGTTTGTTTCTGCCACATTTGAGGCAGAAAAGGATTTCTGCCATGCCAGTTTTAACCGGTTTCTACCAGTGGTCTTAACTACCCCGGCAGAAACTTGCCAACCTTGGCTGGAACCAGTATAAACTCTGACAGATACTGTGAAACTAAATAATTTGCAACCACTCATATTAATATAACTGACATTCTCCTGAAACAGTTTCAATGGAACATCTCCACATACATTTCCCATTTTCTAGACTTGAAACTCAGTGACTACCACATATTATTTATTTAAAAACACAGGATTCGATCAAATGATGAATCAGCTCTTAGAGAAGATTAAATATTAGCTCCAACATTTTTTTCAATGAGATAGAGAGGAAGCTGGTATGTATAGGTATACAATAACTGTCATAGCTTAACATTGATTATTGTATTGAAAAATAGACCGATATTCAATATTCAAAATAATGTAAAAATTATAATAGAAAAAAAAAGAATTTTTAATCTCTAAAAAAATAAGAATTTTCAGTTTCTGGATTGTCTTTATATTATTATTTACTCAGTTTTAATAATATATTTGACTTAGAATCTGCTTTATTTAGTGAAAAGTAGACATCAAATCCAAAAGACAAAAAATAGTGATAATACATAATACAGCATCAAAATAACATTTACAGAAATTACAGTTCATATAAATCCCAACATTCCATTTTCTACCCAATACTTTTAATACATTGGAGGCAAAATAGATATGGTAAAAATATTTGTAGTAGAAAAATATACTATTTTGTATGATTTACAAATACACTTTATTGTTTACCTAAAACATTAACCTTTGTGTGCTTAACTATGAAGTACTTTTTGAAACCCTAGTGTTAGAAAGGTTACTCATATTGCGTTTTGCTTTTCTACATGTTTATAATAAATAAATGTCTTACTTGAATTTTGACTTGGGAATCAGCTTGTTTACGATAAAAAAGGGCAGTTAAATTCCATTCAGGATTTAATGTTTCGTGACAAACAGGAGACTTAACTCTTTCTCCTTCACATTTTACAACACAATATGGATCAGCACCTAAAATAATTATCACTAATTAAAAAAACTTTTCATAAGCTTACATGAGGCAAAATTTTAAGTGAAAAAAAAGCTAAACAAAGATATTTTGTTTATCAATGAATTGTGATAAATTACTAAATAAGCAATAGGAAGAATTTATTATGAAATAAATGGTCAATGGTGAGCATTTCAAAAAAGAAAATTATGTATTTCAGAAATTTGTTTAATCAAATTACTAGAGTACAAAAACAAAGAATAATAAGAAAAATTTTAAAAATTCAGTTTTAATTTATACATTATTGCTATAAAAAAAATTAACGTTGCCATTCAGAATAAGACAGATGATCTACATATTCGATGTGCAAAAGATAATTAATGAATGTCATAATTTATTAGCTATTAAATTAACAAGATTTGCAGGGCTGTCCACTACTATGCTTTTGAAAAGTATTTATTAGAGTGGTAAGCATTTCAAAACTAAAGCTTTCAGAATTTTTGGTAATTTAGCCTCACCACGAGAAAGGTGGAACAAAGTGGCATTTCTTATGACCTTCTGAATAATTTACACACAGTGGTATGGATAATAACTTTAAATCAAATTTACAAAACAAAGAATCGTATATTAAAACATAAACATAGCTAACACTACAAGAAACTTTTTGAATAAGCATAGAAAGTTGGCACTCCTAGATTTCATGAAATTTAATAAATTTAATAAATTTTACCAGTAGTTCAGACAATACAGCTTCTTATCAGAAAAAAATTTGTTGAAGTGTTTTGCTTATTTATGTTTTATGAGGTGACAAACACAAATCTGCATTTCATTACCAAACTTTTACCCAGACAGAAAAATGAAAAAAAATCTAGTTTTTTCTTTGTATAAATATTTTTGTTGTTTAAGGAAGAAAATTTGATTGCATATTCAAAAAATAGAGAAAATTAATTGCAAAATATGTACCTACAATATACCTGTGGGGTAATAAATCAAAGAATTATAAGTAGGAGAAAAATGACTAGAGCAGGGAGGCCAAATTTTTAGTTTTCCGCAAAAGATTTTACCAAGTGAAATATTACTAAAAACTTAAACTTGCTGAAATTTAATTATTTTTGCCAACCCTATAATAGCCTCGCAACAAGATATTGGAAACAAACTGCCATTTGATATGGAAATTTGCAATATTTACATGTAGTGGTAGGAAAAATAACTTCTAATTAAATTTTCAAAACCAAGAATCATACCTTAAAATATAAGTTTTGCTACCAAAAAAAACTATTTCCTGCTAAGTTAAAAAGTTGTCATCTATGCAATAGTACTGGAATGATACATTCCTTCTCTGTACTTTAATGGGAAGAGAAAATAATGAATAATTATTTAAAGTTGGAAATTATATTAAAATTCTCTTGAGGAATCTAACAGTGTTCTCCTTAAGTGTTTTAAGAAGGGGAGCCGCACTGCCTGCATTTTGATCCCTATAAATGCGCCCTCTTTGCATTTTTGTAAAATTAAGCGTCATCCCTTTGAAACACTTTCTTTTTCCATTTCCATATTCCATTTTTAAGAGAAATTAAACAACTGTTAAAATAATAATTTCACTCAAAAATTTTCCGCAACAAAAAATTATAATATTTTCTTATTCTTAACCTTGGCAAAAATCTCAACTTTTGAGGACATTTCAAATTTTTATTCCTCTTAACTTTGGAATAACACTCATGTGAGTTTTTTTCATTCCCCTTATGAAGTTACTAATAGTTAGAAAATAACTTCAACCAAAAGTTATAAAACAAAGAATCAAACATTAAAAATAAACTTAGCTACCACTAAAAGAAAATTTTTCAAAAAGGTGAAATGGTGGGAAATTTGGTTGATAATAAATTTATATTTTCTGCACTAAAATATTAATTTTCAAACCTCAATGAATGTGTACAATGCTTATGTATTTTTTCATTTTTAATAAGCATATGAAAAATAAACAGAAGAGAAATTATAGAATTCCCTGAAAGAAAGATCATAATTAAAACAAAGGAATTCATTACTTCCAAATCGATCTTGTTTTTCTAAATCAGCAGCTCCTTTAACGAAAACTTTAGTAACAAGGCAAGGATAGGACATGCAAGGCCACATACTTTGAGTAGGTACATCGTGTGTCATTTCTCTAATTTTACATAAAAAGATAACATTTTATAAATACAAGTTCAAAAGTAAAATACTTTTTGTAATGAAACTTACTTAAATAAAAAATAGCATGAAAAGAACTGCTTTAAATAAGAATAAATTTGTTAAGTTCTTCACAAGCAAATTTATATTCTTTTAAATAATAAATTTGTTTTTATGAAACAAAATGGAAATTGAATTTTTATGGAACAGTATTTAAATAAGTAAGTAAAAGTTATATGCTGATTCTGTATAATACACTTAAGGGAAATCTTTCAAACATACACTTCAATTGAGAGCAAAAGCCCACACTCACATATTTTTATAAAAAATTATATTTTACTTATAAAATTATATATTATATTATAAAATTATATTTATAGGATTACTCAGTTATATTTTTATAAAAAATTAATTCAATTTTCAAATTCAGGATGAATCACACTTTAATTGAGGTGCAGTTAAACTTAAGTTTAGGAATATGAGAAGAAAATACATTTTAGAAAGAAAACAAACATATTTTATTCAAAACCTTTCAGCTAAAAGAAGTTTAAAATAATGGTTTAATATACAACTTCATTTTACAGTTGAGAAATCAATGTGATAATTGACACTGTTTTTGTTTCCTAATACAAGTTTATCAAGTCTATTGAAAGTTTACTATCACTAAGTCTTGATTTCAGTAAAGCACTTTCAATATGATATCTAGTTTTTTATTTAAATTGTGAAAAAGCAATTTTGCACACATATGTACTGCCAAACAGTGATAGCATTTGGAGCGACAATTTAAGCAGTTTTAAAATATATTTTTAAAAAATCAGTTCAAATTGAAGTAGACACAGAATGGACTGCAACGGTCAAACAGCGACTATAGACTTTAAAGGGGAAATAAACATTGTAAGGTGCTGCTGAGATAAAGTTTAAAACTTTAAGTAGTATTACTTAAAATCTTAACGCAGTAAAGATGGCAAACATTTTATTTAATAATATTAAATTAAAATATATTTTACAGTAAGAAGGGCAAAGGTTAATAAAAATTAATAGGTAGGGCCAATGTGGATCTTGAGAAGTGGGATTAACCACACTGATGTATTAGTTAAAAAAATTAAGAAAAAAGGAAGATTTTCCTAGTGTGTGGGAAGGAAGATATATTTACACATTGTATGCAAAAACCACAAATTCAGTTTAAATTAAAACTTGGTAGCTTCTCTGCCTATTAAACCAATTTTTCCTTTGTAATTTAAAGATTTTAGAACTTCAAATATGGCAATCTAGGACGATTTTTCCCAATCATGAAGTCATTTTTTTGAACAGGGTAAAACATTCTGTAACATTTTTTTATAGTAATGCTGAAACTAAGCAAACATTCATTTGGTGTAGTATGTAAATTACATTTTTCATTAACTACAAAAAAGAAACAAAAGTTTTAACTAAATAAAAACATTCAAAGATGACTAAAGTATCAAAAAGATTATTTTGATATTAATCATTAAACTGATGAACAAGATGTCCCTAATGACAAAATAATGGTTCATTTTTAAAATGCAAACATGGCATTAAAATAAGACAGATGTTCACAAGTTTAAAAAATTATTCGCAAAAATAAAGGGCTAATAAAAGAATCAGCAGTATCATTACCCTAGTTTACAAAAACTTTTGATAACTTCATAATTAGAATTAAAATATATAAACAATACAAAAAAACATTAATTTTGGGTTGCTAGATTTAAAATGTCTAATGGAAAGCCCAGTAGCAGAAACTTCAATATTGATCTGCAACATCATGGCAAAATTATAAAATTTATCACAGCTCATGTGTTAAAATATTTCTATTCAAATGTTGCACTTTATAGGTCTGCAAGTTTTAAAGGGAAAGAATGTCTAATACAATAATTTACAGTGAAGTTACAGCAGTACTAAAAAAAAGTACTCAATTAATTAAAATGTTATTAGTTTTAAATTTATTAATTGAAAAAAGAATAATTCGGAAATAGCAAAACTAAAATGAAAAATATTTTTCATTTAATTTCAAATGTTCAAAAATGAAAAGTTTTATTGTAAACAAAATAATTTGCATTTCAAAATTACGTTCTAAAAATTAAAACAGAGTGTAGAGAAAGCAAGAAAAAAAGATGTCTTTAGTGGTGACTATTGTCAACTTGAGTCTCCAGGGATCCACTGAAGGGGAAAGTATAGGTCACACTATAAAAAAATAAGTAAATTTTAAGTTAAAAATTGAATTTTTGTGTGATTTTGGAATGATTAAATTTCTGTTATAAATATCTTAATTAAAATATCTATAATTTCATAATAATTTGAAAATTTATTTGCAATAATTGCCAAAAAGGCAATTTGAAAACTACATGAATTTATAAAGACTTTATAAAGAATGTCGAAAAGAAATTACCAGAATATGTGTTTCAAAATATCTGTGTTGCAAGAGCTTTGAATAAGTAAAATTGAAAAACTACATAGGTTTCTAAAGGATTCATTGAGCAATTTGTCAATTTAATTTTATTTATGGAAAATAACAGTGATTATAAGGGGGAAACAAATATATTTGCACACATTTATTTTTTGTTAGAAATTGGAATTTGTTATTACTGCTAAAGGACATCATATTGTTTTTCAGCAACTAAAATCAGCCTTATTACATCATATTTAATTATGAATTTAGCAAGATAAGATAGAAATTTTTTTACACAAAGCTCGTCATTTTGAAATTTCCCATTAAAACTTTTTGAATCTCAGGGACTCTGAAGTTTGCTAAACAAGTTACAACTTTTTGTAAACAAAAAAATAAATAGATAAAACCTTAAATAGCACCTTAATGAATACTCTGCATTATAATGACCAAGCTGTTCAGAAATAATACAGAAGATATCTTCCTTTTTTAGCTTGCTTCATTTTGAGTGTAAAAAATTCTTTAACATTTGGTTTGTATGCAAGGTCAAAATAAACTGCAGCACCGACCACGTTAGTTCTGTTAATGGGATAAAAAGTAATTACCGCTATAAAATCCAATATCATATTACAATAATTTTCAGCAAAATTAGGATGTCTTACGCCACAAAGCTAATAAAAATAACTAACAAATGCTTGAGATACAAGTACCAAAACTGATTTGTTTAGACAAAATGCTTTCAAACTCAATAAAGACCAATCAGATTTGAGAAATATCATTCATAGCCAATTTAAATTAAGACTGCCACAGTTGAGGCTCAAAACATTATTCAGGGCAATACAATCAATGAATGTACATTTGGCAAGCATTTTTAAAATTTTCTATGAAAGTCTACGGAAACCGGAAGAAAAAGCTGGTTAGTCACTTTTCAAAGATGGTCCGCTTAGTGTTGCTTAAATTGAACCTCAAAATACATGTTCTTTAATAATGACTGAGGTTCATTACACCACTAGGGGCACATGAATTTGGTAAAACAGCCAATTTTTCTGAATGGGCATGGATATGTTTTATTTCAAGATAGAATTCACCCTCATTCTTCTCAATACATAATGCTGATTTAATGTGAGGTTGGTAGATAAATGTTGCCTGATCCTTTTAACTAGCCATATTACTCACCATTTAAATTTGAATGTCACCTAGATCAATTTCTACTTGTAAAATAATTTTTTTAAATGATGGAGACTCAATGAGCAAATGATTTCTTTGCCTCCAAGCCTTTAAGATTTTTTGTTATTGGATTATTACTTTTAAAAAGTAACAATTAAAAAGAAAAAAAAATTCAAAACTAAAAATTACCCACTTTATTTTTGTAAGGAAAGCTAAACTTATTAGCACAGGATATAAATTAAAAAAAGAAAAGAAACAGCACACTTATTTAGATGCAACATTCAGAGACTTAATCCTGCAAAAGAAAATTAATTTTTTAAAAAAAAATTCGTTTCTAGAAACTTACTTTCCGTTATTATTTCGCTTAGTGAATATTCTAAGGAGGAATTCTCCTTCTTCATTTGGGTCAAACGTTGTAGGTACAACAACATAGCGGCCAGGTTTCAAGAGACATCGTTGAAATACATTTCTAGACATGGCATATTCTGATCCACCAGCTTTTTCTTTAATAGAATGCAAACGGTAGCGACGATTAGCTTCAACCTTAAAATAAGAAAGCATTTGAACTCCTCTAAGATAAAAGAAATGCCCCAAAACAAAGAAAAAAAACTATTTACTCTTTATTGTTAAACTTTTAAATAATTTAAACATGAATCTTAATTTGCCTAGACAATAATTTGTTATTCTAAAATCATTTTATACACACAAGGCATAAGTCAGAATATTTATTGCAGAAAATAAATTGAAAATCAATACCTGCATCCATGATCAACCCAGAACTCCAACTCTTTTGGGTAAAAAATGTTGTTTTTTTTCAGTGGGAAAATACCCTTTTTTAAGGTAAAGTAAACCAAATTGTGAAACTTGAAACTGAATGTATGTTTTACTTATAAAAACAATAAAATAATGCAATATTGAGCATAAACAAAACATTAATAATGATAACATTATAAAAATGAATTAAGTTAGTTCAAGTTGCTTCTTTATAAATTTATAAACATGAAAATACATATTTAAACAACATAATCAAAGCTGTAAAATATTTGTAAAATTTAAAGAACTTAAATATTTTCTTAACAAAATTTCATCTCCTTTACTGGAAAAAACCAATTACAAAGTACCAGTTAAGATTTCTATTTAACAATACATTTAAGAAAAATTTTAATGAATAGTAATAAAGAAATAGGTTTAATAACAAAAGGGCTTAAAGATATATTTTTCAGAAAATTAATATTCTTGTTCTGATATAATTCTTCATGAATGAAATAACATTTACAATCAAAGAAACTCTGGATATCTTAAAATCACAATGAAAAATAAACTTAATTGTTCATATCTTTAACCAAGTCATCAAGTTCTGCTATTTGGTTCTTTACCTTCTTGTTGGATTTCATTTTCTTCATATTAAGTTATGTTTATTTCCATGGTCTTCTTACATTTAGATTCCAGCTCTTCATATTCTTTCTCAATAAGTTTCATTTTTCATTTTTAGCATTTGATGATATTAACTGTGAGTATTTCTGGCTGTAACTATCATTTGTTTTGGTACCTCAACCTATTTGTTTTGTTCTCTCTTAAATAAAATCTCAGCATTACAAATAGCATCGTAAAACAGTTCATGAAGTGGCTACTGACTTTTCATGAATGTTTATCAATCAGCATAGCTTTATTGATGCTGAAAAGCTGCACTTGCATGCGACATAATCAAGATAACTTTAATGGATAAACGTTGATAGTATGTGTCTCATTAATCAATGAAGAATAGATTACATCTAATCAGTCACTCTTATGTTGGAATACTGGTATTTTGTTTTTTAACAGGAAGAAAATTAATAAACTTACAAAATTTTGATTTCAAATTTTGATTGATACAAAAACAGTAACATCTTAGGACAAATAAAAATTGTAAAATTAACATCTCACAACAAAATGACAAAGTAAAATTATCACAAATTAAAAGGTTTTATAACTCTTTAGATGAATTTAAAGCCTTACGCAGTTTTACTAATATTTATATAATTTTACATTGCATAAAAAAAAATGCTGTGCACCGAAAAGAATGTTTTAAAACAATTAGCGCAGTTAAATTTACCTTCATAACATGAAAACCCATAACCAAGTGATTGATGCCTTTGCTCCGAAGGGCTCTTCTATCTCTTTGCATTAAGAAAATCATAGCAGTGTCATCCTCAGCTTCAACATCAAATCGAAACTGTGGATATAAGAAATATTACAAAAAGTGTTGAAATATCACATTTATTTTATTTAACTTTTAGATGTTAAGTTTGGGATACAACCTGGTAACTCAAAAAACCATTTTTCATATTTAGTAAATATAAAAATTGTGCTAGGCAAAGGAAACTTTGTATAAATTGACATAACTACCAAACCTATTAAAGGGTATCTTTATTGCCTTTTTTGAAGTACTACTATTCTTAGACAACACTATTCAATTAAAATTGAACTTTACACAAAGTGTTTTCTTCCACCCATAGATTTTTTATCATACTGAAAATAACTAATGATGTTTTAACTTTAAATTTTAATATAGTTTTGAAGCAATAACAATTAGTTTGTCTTTAACATTTTATGAAATATATTAGTAAATATCATGATACCTAAAGAATAATATTTCCATTATTTTATTCAAGTTTTTGTTTATCTAACAATGCACAAAAGCCTTTAAAAGTTATTTTTTGCATAAAATTATAATTATACAATTTTGCAATTTTCTCTCTGAAACTTAACAGTTGTATTTTTATATAATTTAGCATTCTAATACACATGAAAAAATATTAATAGACAGCAAAGAAAATAAGATGGCTGTAGTAAAGATTCAAATTATGCTAAAAATATTCCAACCTTTAATTCCAAACTATTTCAATTATGTTTATAGATCAAATATTTAATTAGAAGCAGCAAAGGCAGAAATAATTATTAATTATCAATTCATACATAAAGAACAAGTGAAATGATCAATGGAAAACTAGGAAAATTTTTCTATCACAGAAAAGAAGTTAAAGCTGAACACTTTTAAAAAAAATTGTGAAAGTATAGATAACACTTTAAAGAAATAAAATATATGCCAGATTTAATTTTTTCCTACCGAAAAATACAAGACAGCTATACCCAAAATATCACAACTCTATTAACTAAATATCATTCAAAGAACAAACCAATTCTAAGTTGTATAAGTATTGAAAAAAATTTTTGAGAATATTTAAATAATCTATATTTGATATAAAAACTTATGGTACATTTATTATGCAGGGGTGATTGTGAGCCCAAGTCAAAATTCCGGAAAATTTCATGACTTTAAAAAAAAAAAAAAAAAAAAAAAANAAAAAAAAAAAAAAAAAAAAAAAAAAAAAAAAAATACAGTTTAAATTGAAAAACATTTTAACAAGGTTTTTTCCATTTTTCTCAATACTTGTTTACTTAAAATAAATTTAAAACTTTACACATACCTATGATGACTTGGAGAAGTAATTAAAATTTACAAATAGGTCTTTCTTTCCTGAGTTTATGATTACAACAACTATTTACTGATAAAAAATGAATATTAATCATGAATATAAGCTTATAAAGTATCTCTCTGGCTCTCCCTTACAAACAAACAAAATAAACTGTGTTTTTAAGTTCCACCTTTGAAAATTTGATTTCCGGAAATTTCTGTGCTCAACGATCTCTTGAAATGTCTGAACCTTCGATCTCCGGAAACTTCCGGATCACTGTCAGCGAAAATTCCGGAAATCCAGATTTTTTCCGGAGCACAATCAGCCCTGATTATGATTCATACTTGATATAACCAATTATGTAATCATGATGTTAATAGTGGTGAATATCTTATTTTATTTATAACAATTAAGGAACTTACATCCACTTTATTAATAAATGTTGACAAAAAGAATTTAAAATAAAAAGTTTGAAAATGTATTAATTTTTACAGAAACCAAATTAAGGTAAAGAGAATTACACAAATAAATAAGACTTCCTTGCTAAATTCAATAGGTATTTTAGATTTAAGATTTGGTAATCACTAAAACAAATTAATTTCATGATTTTCATTATCATATAAAATATAACATACAGCTACACTACAGAAACATTTAGTCTGTGCGTGAACCTGTGTCCATAAGAATGTACAAAATTAGGAATTTATTTATGGACATATCTGAATTAAAAAATGATTGAAATAATATACTATACCTGGGGGTTATGCAGAAAAGTATCACGATGATTATAGCATCCACCTGCTCTATCAGTTTCAGAATTTTTAGGTCCAGTAGTCCATTTTCCAGAAAAAAATGATTCACTCCATGTTTTATTGAAACTAAACCAAGAGGTATTTACGAGACGGCAAATTGACATGTCAGTGAAATATTTGCAAAAATCGTCAAAGATCATCCTAAAAAATATAAATATGTTTTAATAAAATGATGATGAAGTAATGCTTTTTAAAAATCCAAATATGGCATAAAAGCTACGCTTCCTAGCAAAAAGTTTATTAAGTAGATTTGTTTCAATCATGAATCTGAAATATTACTAGAAAAGAAAAGAAATCTATTAAAAATACAATAAAGAATGATTATTCATAATGTATTTTAAAAAAAGTATTTTTTAACGAGCACTTATGCAAAATTTACTCAAAATATCAAGAGATGAAAAAAAAATCTCATTTTAAGATTCTTAAAAAAAATATATAATCCTAATAAAATTATTTTTCATTAGTACTGTTAGGCCTAGCACAAAAAGTGAGAAATCAGAGATTAAACTATGAAGTATCTTGTGGAGTCATTTTAAAAACAATTTCGTAATTTTACTTACCAAAATTCACCATCTTCATCAAAAGTCAAGCCGATTCTTTCTCTTTCACTTGCCGATATTTTTTGCCACTCTTCAGATCTAATAAAATTAAAATTCATACTTAATTTGTAATGAAAATGCACAGTTTCTGTGGGAAAGAAGATTTCATTGATAGAATCCATAAATATATGATTTAGCTTAGTGGTCCAAAATATAAATCATAAATTATTCAGATACTTGTCGGCAATTAGTAAACATTCAGAAATTAATAATACTGTCATTATTTTCAATGGAATTTCATCAAAATAATTAATCAAAAAAGTGAAAACATAACTATCAAATTAATTTAGAACCCTAAGTTTAATAAAATTATGAAAACTTGACATAAATTAATTATACAATATAATTCTACACAGTAGCAATATTGTTTACAAAACACAATAAAATATAATAATTTTTGACATTCCAACATGGCATACTCAAATGTATATTAGGCATGTCAGTCTGAAATGATATATTTCCATATTCATCTATCTTTCCATAGGTTATATGCTTGCATATTCATGAAACAATTTTACTATATGTTTATAAATTCATGAAATAATTATTCATTTTCTTTTTGTAACAGTTTGTTCAATGTCTTTGTAGTACTTTCAATATTATGTAAAATTAAATGCACTAGTAATATTCTGTTTTTTATGTTCTTGCAAACAATAAAATAATCTTTAGTAATGTTACGAATTTATAAATATTTGTATAACTTGGTAAATATTCCTTGTTTAGATGGCTAAATATCTCAGACAAACCCGAAATAAACAGTTTAATAAGAAAATTTGCAAGAAAATAGTGTAATTCAAACGTAATTTAGGGAGAAAATAATGCCTAATATATTGCCTAAGCAGGGTTCCGTTTGGTGACATATATACCGGCTTGGCACCAATCTTAAAAATTTGGCAACCATTTTTGACTAACTGATAGATTTGGAAACTTTCAGTTTCAAACCAATAGGACCAATATTTACAGAGCTAAGCAAGAATCATCTAGAATAGTGTCGAAAGTTCCAGGGTCTCGCTGCAAAGCCTGTAAAAATAGGAGTGTGTCTCGCAAGGTAGTCTACTTGTGATTGCAGTAATGTTCAATTAGCTCATTCACCTATGTGAGGTTGTGAAGCCTGTGTTTAGCTGCATTACACTGTTATTTGAGCTGTAATTACACTGCTTAACAATTGCTAAGGGTCAGTTCCATTTTTCCAAATTATTAATAATAGACATCGATAAAAGAAATAACACTAAATATATATTTAGTAGAGACAATGTGCAATTATTAGGCAAAATTATTAATAATAGACATTGATAAAAGAAATAACACGAAATATATATTTAGTATAACGCCCGGTTGCTGAGCGGTAGCGCTTTGCGCTGTCGTGCCACAGGTCCCTGGTTCAATCCTCGGGCCAGGCAAGGTTGACTCAGTCTTTCATCCCTTCAGTGGGTCGATAAATGAGTACCAAGCATGCTTGGGAACTAAACACTGGGGGTTGCGCGTTCAGCTGACCACCTGACCGGAACATCTGCTTCTGCTCCCCAGAGCCCAAGGTCAAGAAAACTGAGATGGGCACAGTAGGCCTTGGCCCTCTAGGGCTGTCGCGCCGCTGAGTTTAGCTTTTATATATTTAGTATAGACAATGTGCAATTATTATGCAAAATGGAACTGATATCGTCACATCAAAATATAAGAAAATTAAAAATAAAAAAATGCTCCTCAACAGATTTCCAAACAGTCATGAAAAAAAAGGGTCTTCTTGACAAAATGAAACAGATATGAGTACCTCAGTAAGATGTGCGATTACCTCAAGCACAAATGCAGATTCGTATATGGTATTCACGCTGTCCACTAAATTGTAAAGGAGTCCTTGGAGATATTGTCCCACTCCTCTTTCAAAGCAGTTTTCAGCTATTGCAAGGTTTAGAATACCGTGTTCTTCATGAAACATGTCTACCAAGTGCAACCCAGGCATGCTCTATAGGATTTAGGTCCATTGAGTATGCAGGCTATTGGGTACGTATATCTCCACTTTCCTGTTGGCGATTGGCCATTGCTGATTTTTTTTCATATCTAATATTGATTATGGGGGGCTGGCCTTATTTTTGGCAATGTTATTTTTCAATAAATCGCAAACCATGGATTTCATCCCATGCGCCTAATTGTCCATTGGGAACAATTCATTCACTTTCAATTTCAAATTTTTGGCGACTGGGGGTGCCTTTTTGGGCATCCTAGTCCCAACCGTTGAATATCAAAAATCTTAACTATAATTCTTGATATGAAGATAATTGTGACATTGTGTCACTTAATCACAATTTTCTAATAAAATTGCGACCTAAAAATTAGGTCGACCCCTGACCCCTCTTCTCCGACGCCTTACTGTCTGTCGACCTTCACGGCTTTGACCTTCGGCAGCCTTTGATGTGAGCACATGGGAGATGGTCTGTTATGGTCACAGTTAGTGCATAATGGTGATTTTATTTAAGTGGTTCATCAATTCGCTTCGGTTCCCATTTTAGCCATGATTCTGCAGCGTTTTAGGTAGTTTAACTTCGATCTTCAAGCTGATGATATAAATACTGCACATGTTTTTGGAACGGGGCATTCGAAAACGTGATGACTCAATACACTACGATCCCTTAACAGGGATTTTTCTTTTTCACCCCCTCCTCTTTTTGAGAGACGGAGTTCTAATTTTATCATGGCATTCTTTTTCCGCCATTGCAACTATCTCAACATGCTGCAAGAATGATTTTTTTTCGTGCTGAGGAATCATTCAACAACTCAAGTTTGATCATTTCGTTTCTAATGGAAGTTCTCTCAGATTTATGATTTTGGAATGAGCAAACTTCATTGCTCCTCAAACATGCAAAGTTCCTGTCCTTTTTTTTTGAAGTTTGTCATTTTGTATGACAACGCTCGCCATCCATCGCCCCAGCCTTTCTATTTCATTTTTACCAATTTGGGCAATCTCCAGATCCTCTACCTGTCACCATCATGAAAAACTAGTGGATAACCATATGCCTACTGAATGCTGACCTGGGTGTTTTAGAGTGTTCATCTATGGTTTCTTGTGTCTATGTTAAGAATGGAACTCTCTGATACTCATCAAAAATAAAGAAAATCTTTTAGTGAACTTCAAAGTGTTGTTTATGACTACTAGAGACTCCGTGCAAAAATTGGATTTCTTTTTCCTTTTAGAAGTACCTCTATTTTATTGTGATTGTGCTCGCCCACAGGTATGTTTTCTTATCACTGTAGTTTTTCATGTCATATTAAAAATGCAGTTTTTCAATTACTAGGCTCTCATTGCGGCACTTTCATGTTGGCCACTATAACGAAAAATCATGAGCCATTATTTATTTTTTAAAGACCATATAGATTTGTTCGACCATTATCTCTCTTCAATTTTATTATCATTAGTTGTTTTATTTTTTTATAACAGCACCAACCCAACGTAACAATAATGATTTCGCTTGATTCCTTTAAAGAGTTTTTCTTTATTTTTATATTTTAAATATGGCCATTTTTAATCTAGTAATATTTACTTAATAAATCAAATTTTACTTAAACGATTTTATTCATTTCTCTGAGATAATTATCACTCTATCACATTCAAATTAAGATGTATCTGCAACAACCAAAAACATACTTAAAACTACAATATTGCTCCTGTACGAATCCATTAATTAACTTAAAAGGAACAGTGCCACAACAGTGACCCAAACTAATACGTTCCTTACAGTAACGGAATCTTTCTTGACAATGTCATGGTTGAAGTTTAATGCATCGAAGAGGCTTCCGTGCATGCAAACCAACTTGATTTAATCGCAGTGAGATGTTTCTGGCAGAAACATGCGTACCTGTAGCGGTTGCAAAATCTGTAGCTGCTTGCCTAGGAGTAACATTTCTGTTCCTTTTTGCCACTAGGGATATATATTGATCCTCTTGAGGTTTAATGTTCCTACTACGACCGCTGACATGCTTTTTGCGTAATATTTACATCTTAGCGGCCTTTTTTAATTGCAAGACGATACTTTACTACTCTCCAACTACTATGGCCACAGTGGTAACACTTAGACTTACTTCCAGTCATCCAACTAACTGCTTGTCCACAATCGTAAGAACTCAAATGATGTCTTGACAACATTTTTCATATAATTACTGCAACACCACACTGAATTTCAAAGAAACAAGTTTCACAGCCTACAGAGCTATTTTGGCCAAACACCTAACAGCATGAATTTTCAAATGAGTGGAGAGCTTTTGTGCACTGTCTTTTATACATATAATGGGTCCTGCTTTACCATGCTTTCTGCAATTGATTTCACTGTAATTGGTTGGCTACCGAAAACGCTACTTTGAATAAATCAGTTCTTGCAAGTTCTTGCTTATAAAAGTTTGAAGTCTCAAGGACTGTTTTACTCATCTCCAATCTAAATGAACTCCTGTGCTTGGTATATACATTTATTGCATAAAAATTATGAAACAGAGGTTTTAAAAAAATCAAGTTAAAAATTAAATAACTGACTAAAAAAATAATTTTAACTACGAAGAAAGATTTACTTTAAACTGTACTTTAAACTTTACAAAAAATAAGTGGTTCCTAAAAAAGTTGAAAAATACATGCTAGAAAATAAGTGGGGACAAAAAATAATCAAAGATTGATTTTCTATAGTTGTCAAAAGATTCAAAATATCAAGAAATCCTACAATAATGTTCTATTTTAATAATGAGCAATTATTTATTTCTCACAAATTTCATTTATGAGCATGAATGAATAAATTTTACCCATCACTAAAAGGTCCTGTCCACTCTTTTTGTCCCCAAGGATTTCTCATTCTTATCATGTATATCTTTTCCTTTTGTGCAAAAAGGGACATCAATGATGTTTCCCCAATGTAGACTTTTTTAACAGCTGTGATGCCATAGGCATGACCTTTAACAAGACCCACTTCAGTTCTTGCTTCCATTTCTTCTTGTGAAGCAGCCTGAAATGTAACAACTATTATTGATGAAATGTAATACCATTATAAAAAGATAGGTATCATATTTCATTGAAGTAATGTGTATCCTGAATGTAATACCCATCATTGAAATACTTATCACAAAATAATAAATAAAATAATGTAATACTTATCACAAAATTTGAAACTGTGCTGAGTAAAAATTTGAATACTTTAAAATGTTAAGATAATAAATGCCCAAGATCTAGATTTTACTTATTAACATATACTTAAAATAAAAACATCGACAATTTGTGAATTGTAAGAAAATTATTGATAAAATGAAGAAAAAAATAAAAGGCAACAGAAAGGCTTTAAAAAAAGGGCAACAGGAAAAAAAACATTTATTAGAAGAACAAAACATGTTATGAACTCTTTAGTCATCAAGTTTTTGAGTAAAAAGCTGTAGAACTATTTTTGATATGTAAACATTATATTTTTAGCATTGAATAAGTAGAAATTGATTTGACATGCAGAACAGCATGTAGGTCTTAAAACCCTACAGTAAATTCAGGCTTGACAGTTAAAAAGATAATAATTAAAGTTAACATATTTCTAACTCAATATTTAATGTAATTTTCAGGAGTCTAAATTGTTAATATATTCCACTAATGATATTTAAAACAAAAATTACACATTCTTGCAAATGCATCATGCAAAATTAATGGATAGTTTAAAAAAATTTAGTTGTTTAGCAATTTGTGGACAATGTGATTAAACTTCATGTAAATTAAAAAATTATGCTAACAAGACATTTCAAATCTAATCCATTGGACAAAATTCAATTTAATTAATTTTCAGAATTTAAAAATAAAGTATTTCTTACTGATCTAAACAAAATTTAACTTCAAATTTGCAACAACAAAACAGAAAAAATAGTCAATTTACTTTAATAGTAACAATAATGTCTAAGATGAATTGAAATTTACTTTTATTAATCCGTCTTTTTCTCTGTTTTTTTTTCTTTAATGTTTTACAGATATACGAATATTTTTTAGAAATATTAAGAATTTTTTTTCAATTGGTAAATAAATTTTTAATAATATAAAATAAGGGTTGAAATAAAAATAATCTTTGCAACACACTATATCTTAACAAAAAATAAATAATTTTTTGTAAATGAAATTTTTGTAAAACTAACTACAAAAGAGATTCATCATATGCTTCAAAATTCTAATTTTTAAAACTTTGTAATTAAAGTAAAAAGTACATTAAAACAAAGGGCTAATGCATTTGGTTAATTTGCATAGAAATCATTTGAATATTCAATGCTTCAAGCACAATTTTATCTCTAATCCATGAAAAAAATAGAATTATCAGACAAAGACTTTAAATGAACTTAATATACCTCGAGTAAATAAATGGACTCATCAAGGTATAGCCATTTGGAACATAATGGAATCATGTGAACTCAAAACAACTAAACAAAATAAACGTATAACATAAACTGCTTACAGATATAGCACAACTTAATAATGAATGGTTTTCGATTTCAGATCTCATTGTTCGAAAAAGTTGCACTTTCTTTTCTTCATCTTCATAATATTTCTCTTCTTGAAGTTGAAATGTTTCAGCTATTCCCCCAGTAAAATCAATCAAAGCATCACACAAATTACCACCATCAAGAGACTCATATGATCCCGCTACCCTAAAAGGAAGTAATTTACAATCATGTATATTTAAATTAATATATCAATAATAAATATTAATTTACACTTCTCAAAAACAGATATAATAAGAAATAGATTTGATCATATAACACAGTTCAACATTTCAACCATATACTAGTAAGCAATTCATGATTTCTTAGAAGATATTAGGATTCATCTGATACTCAATGGAGTAACAGGATATTTTACATGTAATTTTGTTATCTTTGTATAATAAATATATAGAATTATAAAAGAAAAGATAAATATAGCTACATATTTATACAAAAACTTTCATTAATAAATGAGCACTGACCAGATGCATTTCCAAAATATGTATTTTGCACTCATTAATTTAAAAACTATTAGTAATCTGAATGAATATAAAAAAAATTAGACCAGGTGCAGTTATTACTATTTGATTTTCAACATAAGAGTCACCATCATAAATAATTGTGAACATTAAAAGGTGATGAATGTCATATCATACTATGTACCTAGTGTTTAATTATTTATATGGAACTTCTTATTTTTTTACGATACACATGATCCAGATTTAGATAGAGTTTTAGGAAGTTGAAAAGAACAAATCAAAAACAGGAAAAATTTGCATACAAATGTTTTTTTGTTTTTTTTTATACAGTTTGGCAAAAAGGCATAATTTATTCAGAAAAGTTCTCAGATTAGTTTATATAGCAAGATGGCTTGATTGATTAATTTGGCACATATAGAAGAGCTGGAAACAGCTATGCTGCGATAAACATAAATAAACAAGGTTACAAAACTAAATTAAGCACTGAGTCTAGTTTTAAAAAAAAGAACAGAAAAAGTCACGATCACTAGTTTACATTAGGGTCATTAAACTTCTGTTTACTAAAACAAGGTATACCTTCTGTAGACAACAGGGTTGGGTTTTTGACGTCAAAAAGTGGTTTTTGACAAGACAAGGATATAATACTGGTTTAAACCGTCAAAAACCAGTCAAAAATGTCAAAAACTGAAGTTTGCCAAGAAAATATATAAACTTCAAAACTACCAACAGTTGCCATGCATTATATTGAAATTTAATTATACTATAGGTAATCAGCAGGTTTTAAAATATTTTTTAATTAAAATTAAGGTAAAATAACAGATTTAAAATCTCAGAAATTTATATTCAAATGCATGTGCAGAAAAATTTTGCACAAAATTTTTTTAAATATTTATATTTTGAAAAAAAAATTTTTTTTTTTGATACTTAAGAAAATTAAAAGTTTATTACTATGCATTTTTGACATATAAGGAACATATAACTAATATTTATAAGGAACTTACAAGTTATGTTGTATAAATACAAACTTGATATAAGATACAAGTGTATAAAAATTTTTTTTTAATGTTATACCGAATATCTTTATTATCCAGTATGTTAATTTGAATTTAAAAGTAGTTATATTTGTGAATAATGATAAATATAATTCATATTGTTTATTATATTTATTTATAATTATTACACTTATCATTTTAAAACAATTTTTACCTCTTAATTTTTTTCCCCCACTTGTATTAAGAATACAAATAATGCATATCTTGAAAGCAAGAAGTAATTATTCAACAGCTGAATATTTAGATATTCAACAAAACTATATAGTATTCAGCAAAATGAAATTCACAAGTATTTGGATAAACTAAATTTTCAGCATAGTAAATGAATAGGCTGAATATACTGTAAATCGACACTAACTACTCTGTGTATTTAACAGAAAGCACTTAAATTTGTATTGTCTTATGTTAAAAAGATTATTAAGAAGATTTAAAAGAATATTAAAAAGATTTTTCTTTAAAAGATGTCTAATGTACAAAACTGCTAATGTTTATCTTTAAAAATGTTTATCTTTAAAAATGTCTAATTTTTAGTATAATCTATACTATACACTAAATTTGGTAATAATATCACTGCAGATTTTCAATAACACATGAAAATGAATACATAATATTACAAAAGATGTGAGCTTTCAAAAGTACAAGATTTTGGTTACTATTCAAAATATAAGTGTTTCTTCAAAATTTTAAATTTATTTTTTCTAGAACATATTTAGAAACACTATCCTTTATAAAAAAATATATAAATTTTAGGTATTAATTAAATTTCACATATGAATATAGGTTTTTGACATTTTCGACATTTTTGACAGTGAGGTTTTTGAGGTGACGGTTTAAACCATGGTTTAAACCGTCAAAAACTGTCACATGCATGGGTGCAAGTTGAAAAAAAGGCCAAGACTGAAATTTTTTTGACTGAAATACCTAACATACACAATACCCCCTTGACATATGCAAACTATCTAAGAAAGCTTTACCATAATACATCAAGTTTAAGTACTGTACAAAAAATATTTATTCATCTGTCTTTTGATAAAATAACAACAGACCAATAACGTAGACCAAAAAAAATATTTTTAAGGACAGAAAAAAAGAAATGTCCGATTTCCGTCCTCGAGTCAGTCTTGTTTCCGTCTTACTTCCGTCCGCGGATATTTTCGAAAGACGGAAATTCGTCCTGGAGACGGAAGACTTGCACCCATGGTCACATGTCAAAAACCTGCCAACCCTGGTACACAATGATATTGGAAACAAGTTGTGATGCTGATTTTAAAAATAAAGTATTACAGATTGCCTCTATCATACTGTCCTTGTGTGTTTCAGGCAATAACTTTATTGTGACAAAGAATCAATATATAATCATAAAATATTACAATTTACAAACAAGCTGATCATTATTTAATAATGCATTACATTTTTATAACAATTACTGAATTTTTATGCTTTTTCATACTCTATTGTCAGTCTCTAAGCAACTGAGTACAAATCCTCAGTACTTGTACTGACGTTCTTCTTAAGATATACAGCAGATAAATTCTCATAATTAGAATATAGACATACAACAAAAACATACTTATTGAAATTTCTCAAATTTAGTGTAATCATGAAAATGTTAATTTATCAGAATATGCAATTACGATAAAAGTCAATATCATATCACCTTCATATTCGAGCTTATAAAAGTTTGCCAACTTTTTAATTTTAAAATACATAAAAAATTTAAATATATTTTTTTTTATCCTAACTCTGTACTAAAAACTAAAACTGTAAGAATAATAACTAACTTGGCATAAGCCTTCTCCAAAAGGGCACCCCAGAATTCATTTTTATCTCTTGATTTAATGTATATCAACTCTCCACCAATAGTTGGAAGCCTATCATCTATTACAACATCATACCATCCATCAAATAACCAAAATCTAAAATGGAAGATTCCAGCATAATTTTCAGGCTGTTCATCATCCCATTCTTGTTCTTCAGCATCAGGAATAACCTAATTAAAATTATGAGAAAATAAAATTGTAAAGCTATGCAAAATTATATTCAAATGGTCAATATAATAAAAAATTACTAAAAAAATTTTAGTCCAATAAAGTAAATAAATACAACAGTTATCCACAATACATACATAAAAGCTGTGCTTCCCAACCTGTACTACATAGAGATCTTACAAGTCATATGTGAAAAATCTTAGACAAAATGAATCATTGAAATGGAAATATTCAGAAAACTTGACCATTTATTGATATACTGAAAAGAACTATAAAATAAATGGAACTAGACATTCGGTTTAAAGTTACATGATCATTTTAGCATTAAGTACAAAAAAAGGAATGACTTTTCTTGCTAATTTATTTGTTTGAAATTATATTCACTTACTACATATATCAAAAATATATTAGACACCCTAAAAACATATCATTCAACAAAAAGGCATTTAAACTTAAAGTAAATTTGAATGACTGTTATCTTATACTTTTCATGTCACATTGATTCTTCATTTTTTTTTATCTTCCTGCTTAACCCCTGATTATTTATCTTTTTTTTAATAGCTTAACAATTTATCTTGTAATAAATGTTTAAGTTATGAACACATTGTAGTTTTAGCTAATTAAAAAATCAATAAGATCATTTATTTATAATGCTTTAAAATAATTTGGTGGGTGGTAGGATGGAATCAATTGGTGGGGCAGAATCATTACTTCAGAGCATTACTTACTTTTGCAAAAGCCATTTATTTTATTCATTTAATGTTGAAATAATACATTAATGTATAGATCACACATGTTAAGTTATATCAAGACACGAAATCTCCAGTTGCCAATAGCGACCGAATATTTAGGGCTGGCAGTAAGTTTTGTTTTGTAAAATGGAGCATTTTAAAGCCAATTAGCATATTTTTCCCAGTTTTGAGATTTTGTGAGCAAGTGCTTCAGATTAGGATATCACAATAGCTCAAAGATAGCATACAGAAGCTCTTTGAAGACTAAGACACTTGACTTAGACTTTCTATAGATTTACCCCTCATAGAGAGATGCTCTTAAAGCATTAAAATGCTATGTGTCAATTGAAGCCTAGGGCTTCAATTGACACATAGCATTTTAATGCATTAAGAACATGAAGTATACAAATAATAAGTGTTAAAAGTATTGGAACATTTCTAATATTATTCTTATTATTATGACTTAATCATATGTGGATGATAATGGACCCAATAAAACTTTATGATCTCATTTTAAGTTAATATATTATTATTTTGCAATTAATGATTAAATTTTTCAGTTTCTACATTCTCTTATGGTTTTGATAATCAAAAAGTTCTATATACATGTTTCAACATTTTAAACATTGTTCATATTTTTTGTAAAATAGTTGCAAGCAAAAAGTTTAAGTCTGGCTAGTACGTTCAAAGCAAAAATTTCATGCTCTGAGTTATAACATGTTTTTTTCGCAAAGGGAGAAGCATAACACTTTTTCAATAAATGCAAAGATTGTCTACTTACAATTATTTGATATTTAAATAAATCAACATATGGAAGAACATACACAAATAATTGTCAAAGAAAAGAGGGTTATCTTTGAGCTAATGTATAATTAAGTAAAATACAACATATTAAGCACAAACAATACAGTTAGAAGATACAACAATATTTTGTTTTTACCTACACATATTATTTGGTTTTATGTAGAATTCTACTTCATTATAATAAATAACTTATCAAAATATGAAAATGAGAATAACAGAAATTTAAGTGCTAATAATTTAAACATTTAATTCGCTTACAACACAATTGCTATATCATAATAACACAAGAACAATGAATTTGCCGAAAAGTTTTAAAACAAATTTAGAAGAGCTAATCTAAGAGAAGAAGCTCTGGCTTATGACTTACAACAAAAATCTGTTTTTCTGCTGTTATTCCTAGCAAGCAATAGAGTAAATTCTGTACAATTTTCTTCAGAGTAAAAATGCATAGATAGAGAATTAAAAATAACTTATTTTTGTTTTTCATTAGCTACTATTTTAGACAAAGCTTTATAGGAAAAAGCAAATAACAAGAGATTTATTTCAGAAAAATCTTTTCAGATTCGTTAAAAGACATTTAAAAAATTTAAAATTAAACTGTAGTTTAATAATTAAATAAAATGTATTTTAGGACCAAGATAAAAATAAAAAAATATTAGCACTTCAATGTATTGAAATCAATGCATTAGCATTCTAAAAGTTACATTTCTAATGTTATAATTAAGCTTGTTAAAATAAGAAATCTGCAACATTATACTTCCGTTTCTTTGTCATAAACAAATTCTTTTATAAAACTTACTGCCTTCAACCATCAATTATGGATGAAATAACAGTTAAAGATTGAAGTGAAATGCAGTAAAAGTCTGAGTTGACAGTTGGACAGTCTCATATGACAGTTATACTTGTAGGAAAGCATTTTCATACCGACACAGCCACTAATATCCCAGTGATACATATAAACACATCTATTACTATCCAAATATCCAGTCAGTAATTCAGACATTTTACAAACATCTAAATACCTCTAAGTCCATGGATTTAGATATTTTGAATAATACTGAGAAGCCATTTATGGGCACTTGAATACTAGAAAGATATCCAGATATCTAGAAATTCTAGGCATGGATATTTTCGGTACATCTTAGACATTTTTAATGATTTGCTTAAAATATAGTTATTTAGATATGTATTGAATGACTGAAAGATGTTTTGATTTATACTTAACATCTGACATAGATTAAGTTTTTGGAAATTTCAGACATTTGAACTTTCAAATATCACTAAGATTTATAAGTTGTTACCTACATAAGAATGTAGAAGCACTAAATTTCTTGGAAACCAAGCAAAATATTTATGAATTTTTTTTAAAAAATTGGAATAAATTGGATTTATGTTTCTCTTTTCCATTGTATAAACAAACTATTTCAACATTGACGGGTCTAAAAATGCACAGGGACTGCACATAAATGAAAAAGACATATAAATGATAAAGGTATAAACGTTACTTAACTGTATTTATTTTTTTTCATTAAAATTGTAACTTTATATTGACATTAACATTAAGATTGAACTATATTTTAAATATTTGAACCTACAGCTTTTACTACCCAAAATTAACTTAACTTCTTAAATATTTAGAATTTCTTTTAATCAGCTTCACACATTCCTACTCTTCTTACTAAAGTTCTTTGTATTTTTTGGACGATTAGATAAAGTTCTTTTTTATCATCATCATGCTGTAATTAAGGGATAAATACTGCAGCTGCAACAACAAAATCTGGAAAAATTCGCAATTTTTTTTTTTTAACAGAGCACGATTTAAGAGAAAAACTATTATGTTTATCTGCATTGTGTTTATTTTTAAATTACTGGCTATGTGGATATGGCCATTCACAACTGTTGGGCTTGGGTTGAAGCTTTTCAGCAATTATTTTTCACTTATGTGGAGTAACAAAAGCGTTTTTGAAGTAAAAAAAAAACATAAAAATTCTAAAATATGTAATGCAAAATAACTAAAAATTAAATCTAATAATCTATAATTAAACCTTAAATCCAGCATGCAATCATTTAAAGTTTTCTTGCAGATAAAAATAAATTTTAATTTTAATTAAGTTAGAAAATGTACAGATGTGACAAATAGTGTAAGATACTGATCATTTTGATATTCTGAGTTCCATAACCTAAATATTCTTATATATTCAAAATTATATTATTATTTATAACAAAATTATATAATTATATTATTATTTATAACCTAAATATTCTTATATTTCACTTAAAAATTCAAAGGAACTCTTTTATGCAGCTTAGCTGCCAATGCATTAATTAATTATAGCTATTTGAGTTAGAGTCAAAGGACAATTAGTTAACTTTTCATTTTTATTTTTATTTTCAGATTAAAGCCAACATTCAAGCAAATATTATAACAATCAAAACGTAAATATTTGCTTTTTCTCTGCTCTGAATATAAACAACAACCAGTTCTGAAGAGGGCAAATAGGTAACTCACTTCCTCAAACATACACAAAGCTGAGCTTGTTATGTAATATAGCTGGTTGAATCACTTTCCTGGCTTTAGAAATCTTCTCAATATGAGGCAGGTATTTATATTGGAAACAAAACAGTGAAGAGACTCTTCCCCATTCCAATAGTGTATTTCACATAAATTTTTGTAACTCAAAGGTTTACGGTGTGAAGTCTAAAGAAGTTTGTTGTAAATAGATGTAGAAAAACAAAAGACTTAGATTTATTGTGAAATATTTTGAAAAAGCAAGCTTGAAAAAAAATTTAAAGGCAAGTAAAAAAGGATGGGACATAAAATGTTGACAGTTATAATTCAAAAAAAAAAAAAAAAAANAAAAAAAAAAAAAAAAAAAAAAAAAAAAAAAAAAGAGTGAATGAACAAGGTTGACATAGCTATGAATATCTTATGCTATGAATAGCTATGAATATAGCTATGAAAACTATATAGCATTGGCAGATAAGTAGGAAGAAATCAGTTTAAAGCATAAAAGATTAGAACAACTAATGATTAAAAAACTACATCCTGAAACTAGGGATGTAACAAATAATGATTTGACCGAATAGCAAATATTCAGCCAAAAAAATGGGCAGAATACCAAATATTCAGCAGCTGAATAGCAAACTTTCTTTTTTAAAAAAAGAGAGAGAAAAAACATATTTAAAATTTTTTTATATAGAAATAAGTTTAGCCATTATTGAAAAATAATCAAAACTCAGCTGTATTATTGTTGTAGTGCAAAGGTAGAAAAAGTTTAATAGATAATATAGATATTTAGAAATATTTAAGGAAAAAAAATGACAGTTATTAGAAGAAAAAAACTTAAGTTGTAAAAATGGAAAAAAAGATGTAAAAAAAATACCCTCTTAATTCTTCAAACAAAACTTTAATGCTAAAAATAATATTTTCTGGGGAAAAAATTATCCATAAAACATTAAAACAGATACCTATCAAAAACGCTTTAAAAAATACAGCCCTATCATAAAAACGTCAATAAAAAACAATGATACAAAATCAAAGTAGAAAAAATAAAAATCTATCATGATTTTTGAAAGAAAATTTAAAACTAATTATTTCAGTTTTGCAATTACCATATGTCTAATAGAAACCCTCTTAAATGCCGTATCATAATAAAAATGTTGATAAAACATAAGTTTTTGAAAAGGATAAAGCTAAATAGAAACCAAGAAAATAGTTCTTCTTAAATTTTTAACAAAAGATTTAATGCTAAAAATCTTAATTTTACTTTTTCACATAGCTGTATTTTTAGAAAAAAGTGTAATAAAAGAATAACGTTCATCAGAAAAGCTATTTAAAAAATGCTGTCATAACAAAAATGCTTATAAAAGAAAAATTTTAAAAAATCAAAAGAGAAACAGAAAAAATTGTTCTTTGTTCTGAAATATAACATTAACGTTGAGAATCACAGTTTTCTAAGTTACTAGTTACTATTAATCTAGTTTCAATTCTTCAAATTTTGCTTTTCTAAGTATCTTTCAGAATATAAAATTAACAAGTTTCAGAGCTTAGCAAACATGAGTAAAATATATTTCTAATAATGCATTGTAAAAAAAAATATATGTTTTTAGATTATTCTTTATTAAATCTATTAAAATTCCCCCAAAAAAAGTCTATGTCAAGAAATTATTTTCCAATTAAATACCGTGCTTAATATTCGGCAAAAGGGCTGAACACTAAATAGCGGCTGAATATTCGTTACATCCCTACTTGAAACTTTATGAAACATTTTTTCACTTCATAGTAAATTTAGATACTATATTTAACAACGCATAAGTTAAACAAAGAGCTCAAAAACTTCAGAAAAATATATTATAAACTATACTTCAAGTATCTAAAAGAATTAAATATCCCACCTTATACCACAATTCTTTCTCTTGAGCAAGAGATGAACAGGCTGCAACAAACCAACAGTTTCCTAAACTTCCTTGAATAACATCACAACTACAAGCTCCATCAACAAATAATTTTGGATTGCTGTGAATGTCCTGTAATTAATATTTAAAAAAAATTAAATATAAAAAAATTTTTATAAAGAAATGTATGAAAAAGATAAATTTTTCATGTGACTTCTTTTTTACACAATTTTAAATAAAGCATGGTAAAAAAAACTAAGTTGTAAAATCAAAGTAAAAAGTCAATTTACAACATTAAATTTCAGTACCTTAGGACGTTTCCACTCAACATGGCCCTGAACTTGACCGGCACGACTATAAAATAATGAAGAATCCTGTGCAGGAAATTCAGGATCTTCAAATAGCTGTCCTGATTCACGAGCAGTATTCTTTAAATCTTCATATATCTGATTTTTTAATGGTTTTATGCTTGAACTGAAAAAAATAAATAATAGAATAAGTCACTAGAAAAAAGAAATTAAGGTACAGTGCCCCCTCCTCCAAATTGAAATGCCTTGAATAACTTTTGATCTTGTGGAGGTTCATTGATGGTCAGGAGACATAACATTAGAATTTACATTTACATTTTGGATTTTACATGATCGGATTTTCATGAACTACTCTCATTAGTTTGAGACTCAATCTTAACTGTTTGAGGGCCAAACTTTAAATATACTAAGTAACTAGAGCAAATGATATTTTAAGTTACAAAATCAGACACAAAACACAATTTTTCTAAATAAGCATTTGTCAACGGATTTGGATCCTTATCCATTAAAATATGGGGAGTAACCACGATCAGGAAAATATGGTCCCAATAGTTTAGGCAGGAGAGAGAAGGAATGCTTGAACCCCTTAATGTTAATTTCACTTTTTATGCATTTAACTATATCTCGAAAACTTTTTAAGTATATTGAAAGTGTTTTCACACAATTTTAAAATAAGTTTAGTAAAAAATAATTTCATTTCAAAAAATAATTATCATTTTTTTACTAATTTATTTAGTAACTGTCGAAACATTCTGAATTGTAAGGTACAGAAATTTTTACATCATTTTGAAAAATGTAATTTATGTCAAAATGCAAAATTTCAACATCAGTCAAGTCTTGAGAAATAAAATTTTAAATGCACATTTTTTTAAAAAAACTTTATTACTCAGAAACTATGTAACTAATTTGATGAAATTTTATATTTTGTCATTAAAATTACAATCCTTAAAATGATGTAAAATTTTGTATACCTTACAATTCAAAATTGTTAAAACTTATTAAATAAATTAATAAAAATTACTTTTTACATGGAATATTTATGGCTGAAAAAATTTCAGGAGAGCAAAAATGTTTCAATTTGCTTAAAAAGTTATAGTGAAATACACATAAAAGAGAAATTAACAGTAAGGGGTAAACTTTCGACTGATCTTCCTAATCTATTGCAACCATATTTTCCCCTATTATGGAAACCCCATATTGTGAGGGTAAAGAGCCCTATTCTGTAGGAAAAAAAATTTGTAATAGGTTTTTATATCTGATTTTTTAAATAAAAAATATATGACCTGCTCTAGTTATTTAGCATATTCACGATTAAGCCCTTGAATCATCAAGATCGAATTTTAATTGCAAAAATTCAGTTATTAGGTCAAAAGTTTTTACTTTTATTTTGCACACTGTACTTTAAGTATAAATTCAAATTTCAATATTAGAAGAAAAAAAAGGAAATTTAATTTGTACCTAAAAATCTAATCATTAAATCAAAAGTTAATCAAGGAGTTTTTTTTTTTCTTCGTGCACACTGTACTTATAAATGAACAAAAAAGATTATAGAAAAACAAACTCTCACCCAGGACTTGAAAAAGATTTAAGCAGCCTTTGAAACATGGCCCCACCGGTGTTAAGAATAGCTAAATCACCCATAACTCCAGTTCAAAAAATAGCTTCTGTAAAAATAAAATTACAAAAGAATTTGAGAAATTACTTTTTTTTTATTTATTGAATTAAGTTAGCTCTTTAATTGTAGAAATCTACACAATATGGAAAAAAAAATCACAAAAACATTAAAACTATTGAAGAATTCTATTTCAACACATACTATGAATATAGAACACATAAACACATGCAATAAGAATACCTAGGAATACAAAGAAAAATTCAGGGCAAACATATCTTTTGTCTAGGGATGTAGTGCCTTGTGGAAAAACCGTAATCAGTCTAGCTTCACTAGTTAGTGTTGTAAAAGTGCATTTTTGTTACAAGATCAACTTGCAACAGAGGAGAAAGTTTACCAAAACCTCAAAAAACTGGTTAGAGTAGCTGATAATTTGATAGAGAGTAATGTGGCTTTCTCAATAACATTGTTGTTATTTGATTATAATTTAATATTTTAATAAGCCTGGGATGATTGTGAGCCCAAGTCAAAATTCCGGAAAATTTCTTGAGTAAAATAAAAAATTTTAAAAAAAAGTTTAAATCGAAAAATTAGAAAAAAATTTAAGCAAGGTTATTTTCCTATTTCTCAATATTTCTTAGTTTACTCAAAATATATTTAAAATTTTACACATACTTATGATGACCTGGAGAAGTAATTGAAATTTACAAATATGTCTTTCTTTCTTGAGTTTATGATTATAATAACTCTTTACAGATAAAAAATGAATATTAATCATGAATATAAGCCTATAAAGTATTTGGCTTTCCTTTACAAACAAATAAAATAAACTGTGTTTTTAAGTTCCACCTTTGAAAATTTTATTTCCAGAAACTTTTGTGATCAGTGATTTTTTTAAACGTCTGAACTTCCGATCTCTGGAAACTTACGGATCATGGTTAGCGAAAAACCCGGAAATCCGGATTTTTTCCGGAGCGCAATCAGCCCTGATAAGCGTTAAATCAACACAAAATAAAGAGTTTTCTTCACCAAACTCAATCTAATTATATGAGCAATTCTTTTAATAACCTTCTTCATATAATTCTTACATAATTCTTTTTAACAATATTGCAGTTGATATAAAGGATCTCTTTAGGTATAGATATATACGGTATAACCGTGCAAATTTAGACTCGGGCATTTTAACTGTTTGTAGTTTTGTTGTTTGATTTTTCATCAATTTAACAACCCATTTCTACTTAGTTCTTAAAATTTAAATATTTTTAATTTCAAATAATTATTACAACAAGCAAATTTCTAATCCTGCATTTAACTAATCACTTTTTCACAAGTCTGATTTCATCAGAAATTTAAATGATATTTTATTATTATTATTAGTTATTGCCATGGCTTTACACATAATTTTTCAAATCTCAATACTTTTAATGCAACATTAATACAACAAATGAATTAGATTACTTATTGATAAGCACTTTTTAAAACAGCACTTCATTTGCCATAGTTTAATCGTAAATTTGTGTAATCTTACAGATAATTTTTCTTCAGTAATTGCTAAGGATTTATGCGATGCTTTAATCAAACAATATTACAACATACAGATTTGAAGAATCCCTCTTAGACATTTTCGAATTGCAACGCTTTCATCATAACACCGCATGGTTTTTCGGATCACTTTGACAGCAGTTATTTCTTTAGATTTCCATGTCTTGTAAAGTCTTTTCTTTTTTTAAATACAATACTATTTTAAAATTTCTGCTTCTTGAGTTGAATTTCAGATTGATTTAGCTAAACAATATCAAATTCACATAATCAATCAAAACAGATTTCCAAATTTCGGAGGTTTTGGGATTTTTAGAAGTCCAGATTTTTTAGGTTCTGTATAGATTAATTACTTGCTTAAAAAAATTAAATCATTTCACAATTTACTTTTTTCTGCTTTTTTAAAAAACTTATGTTTAAGACAGTTAGCTCTTAAGCAATCATAAAATGAAGACAAAAAAACAAATCTCTTTCAAATATTTTTATACAAATTGTAAGATTAATAAGAAAGAATATTGATTTGTCAAGTATCAGGATAAATGTAGATTACAAAGTTGTTTGTATTATAAATTAATGATCTTTTTCATCTTTTTTTTTTAGAAAACAGCTTATATTGAATCCATAATTTTAGCCCTTAGAAAGTGGACGAGAAATTAATAATAGAATAATAATCACTGTTACCTGCCAACATGTGACTTTTATAAAGTGTCACAAAAGAGGAAAAGTCTTAATTATATCAGATTATTTCTATTAACAGAGTTAGTAATAATAGTTTATAGCAGAATAACACACAGCTATTTTTTAAGTTTTTAGAGGTAGTGAGACTGTCTATTTTGAGGAGCAGTTTAGTATAATAAATTTTCCAAAAAAATTATTCAAATTTTGAATCACTTTCAAAAGTTATTTTATTACTTTGAAAAATAACTTTTTATAATAAAAAATGTTTAATATTTCATACGTAAAAAAAATACAGGAATCTTGTCACAATTTTTGAGAGACAGTCTTTATGTAAGTAAAATATTCTACATGATTTAAAAAAAGGTTGAATTTATTTAATTTCTAGTTACTTCAATTTCTATGGATATAGCATTAATTTCAAATTATTTAATTTTTTTTTTTTTTCTTTTTGGTAACACAGTTATTACAAAATAATGTTTTGCAGTTGCAATTCTAAAAATTTATCAGTAATAATTCAAATATTTGTGTACAAATAGCAAAAAGTTTTTTTTTTTTTTTTTTTCAAAAAAAATAATTCTGTTGAAACGTTAAATTAAGCTGAGAAAATACAGAGAATGATAATGAAAGTTAGAGTATTCCGTTGTGATTTAATTTTTTAATTAACTTTTAATAAACCCGTTACAACAATAGTAAGGCAACAAAGCTAAAATAAATAAATTAGTAGAAATTTGCAATTTGAATATTAAAATAAGTTATCTTAAAAAAAATAATTAAATCATGTGCAGAAAAATACTTAATTACAATCAAATAAAAGAATGCAAATCAATTTTAATTTTGTCCAGATGAAATATTTATTCATTAAAATAATAACATCTATAGCCAGTTACATCGAACAAAATACTGCCTGCATATTAGATTTCAGTTCAGAAAAAAAATAAGACATAGATTAATCATATTTAAAAAAAATTGGGCACAAGGAAAAATAAAAACTTATCGGACTCTATTCTGCGATCGTGATCTTGCGAAGGGTCGCATTTCCCGCAGAGCTCTTAGTTATTCTGACATCAGCTAACAGGAGAGAGAAGCGACTGTTTCTCTTCCCCTTTTTCCTCTGAGCAAGGATATGGCACTGCAATCGTTCCAACCTGTGGGATGATACACTTTCGAAGTGGGAGAGAGGGAAAACAAGACGGGGCTAGTGAAAGCGTGAGTTTAAAAAAAGAAAAGAAAATATGCAGTGCCCAAAAGAAAAAATTGTGTGCATAACTAATTTAAAATTACAAAAATTATTATTAACATTTGCATAAACATATAATCATAACATTACAGTTTTCCTTGAAACAAATATAATGTGTTTCAAAGTGAAAAAAGTTTCTCTAACTTTTTATTTAAACTCAGTATAAAATAATTATATTATTTAACTAATTTAAGAAATAATCAGATAATGAATTTGGTGATGCTGAATTTTATTTTAAGCTCTATTAGAACATTTTGTTAACATCAATTTATTTTTATAGATATTTTTGCTGGAAAGTTGTAATCAAAATTGGGAAAAATCAAGAATTTTTAAAAAATATCATACCTACTTATTTTATTTAAATCAGATTTTTTTAACATGTTTTATTTATTTTACTTTTTTCAATATTTAGCGGCCAAAACATCTGATATAAAATGCACAGAGTACTTAAAGTTACATAAAAACAATAATATAGCTAAAACAACTAAAATGTTTAGAAAAAAAAGGGTTGGTTTTTATTAAAAAAAAAACATTTGGATTAAACCGGCCAATCCTGATCAAGCACCTTCTATAATTTGCTATAACAGACAGAATGGAGAATAAATACCTATTGAAGATTTAAGGAGATTCAAAAAAAAAATTTCCACTGCCCTACTAAGCCAACAATATGTCTGAATTAGATAAAGAAATGGAATTAATGATTTTATAAAGGTAGTAAAACATAAGTAACAAGAAAAAACATCCAAGAAGATGGCAAATTTGACTAGTAAAACATGTAAACCGGAGAGGAAACCACTAAAAATGTATATTCCTAAATTGATCCTAGTAACAAAAACCAGATAGTTGCACTTCGGTTATTGCAATTGGCATAATCAAGACCAGATACGTGAATAACCTCTAAATATCGAGTAAATAACTTTAAATCACTACAGAAATGTAATCAAAGAAGTAAAATCACATGCATTTCTAAGCTTAAGTATAATTACTTATGGGATTATTCAAAAGTGGACTCATCGTAGACATACATTTCCGAGTAGAACATAAAAGTCAAACATCACTGGCTGTAGTCAGTAAGCAGATGAGTGAAAACTTTGATCACTCTGTGTAGGAACCAGGGAGATTTCCGTATTGTGATCTGTGGCAGAATAATCACCCAGTATTGGAAATCCATGATAAACTACCAAAAAACATCACAGAAAGGAACAAACTCGAAAGGTATAACTCTTAGCCATCTCTGGGCAAACATCTACATGTTTCTTTGTTTTGTTTAATTTATAAAGTTTGAAATCTATGTGGCACCTTGGTGATTGTAGTTGGCATGACAGATCACGATAGCGAAATATCCCCTAGAAAAAGAGGTTCCACGGTATTGGTCCTCCTATAACTGATCCACCTTAAAATGCTTGACATCACGAGCAGGTCGCGGGCTACCAAGGCGGGAGTGCCATATACTCTTCAGAGAATCAAAATTGTGATGACATGTCTTCGGATCATCCTTAAAGATGTTTTCCAGATCATCACCAATAGCCCATTGTGCAGCTCTAGCGCGACGCAAATTAAGTACTACTACATATGCAGAGATGCCAACTGCTCCAGACATGCCAAAATAATTAGAAAAACGGTGAATAACTACAAAGTAAATTTTGCAAATATTTAAAGATTTTTTATTGCTTTTTAAAAGGCATAGCATGACATGCGTACTATAAGGTAGTGAATTATATAAGCCTATGAATCATTTAGAAATAGTGGTGGATAAAAATCTACTAAATTGAATTTATTAAACAAAGAATCCCAATTGATAAACTACCACTTTAAAATATATATTTGCTGTCCGGAGCAAGTTGGCATCTCTGCATATGGAGTGAAGAGCCGAGATCCTATTTTAAGAAAATACGTTAGATGATAAAAATTATTTTAAAGACATTTTAAATGCAAAATTATTAGTATTGCAAGTTGATCTTTCACAAATAAATATTTACCGATACACATAAAGAATTATTGTAAAATTAACAATTCCTTAATAGGTTTTGAAATGGCCGCTATAAAGTTTCTTTGCCTCTACGTCTAAAATTCAAAGTTAAAGCACTATATAATAATCATTATAAAGATACAAAATTTCAAGATATACCGGAAATAGCAACTTACCACAGGCTCCTTAATATAGTTTATTGAATTTTCTTTAAAAAAAATCACTGTGCCGAGCTGAGCTATAAAACAGAAATCAGCAGACCTATGTGCAAATAAAAATAGTTTTGACAGACAGCTTTTGTATTCCCAGGCAGTTTGATATTGCTGCTAGAATGCTTGCTAACCTAAATTAAGGCAAAACAATTCAATGCGCCATCTATAGAGAATACTGACTACATGTTTATTACACAATAATCAAAAATATCTATTTTCTTACGAAATATAATTGAATCAAATAAAAAATAAGTTAAAATATTGGTATTTTAAAAAATGTATGCGGAACAAGGGTAAGTTTATTTAAAATTAAAAAAAAAGGAGTTAGAGCATTAAGTAGCAGGTTATGCTTTATTTTTTCATTTAAATATGTTGTTATAAACATCTCTCTCAGAGATCCTCTAACTAAATTTTTTTTTCTTTAAAATAATTGGAGGTAAATTTTTGAACGTCCTTTTCAAAATTTCGCTACCAAGATTTTTAGTTCGCTCGCTGGCCACCTTAATTATATTAATTAAAACATTAAACTTTTACGAAGTGACTCTGTCCCGCAGTGGACTGATCGTTAAGACACGGTTCCCAGCAGATCACCGAAGTCAAGCATCACTAGCTACAGTCAGTGTGCGGGTGGGTGACCACTTGGATCAGCCTGCGTAGGGACCGAGGGTGTGCGGTATTGGTTCTCGTTAAACTGTGCTACCGTAAAGTGCTCGACTTCGCGCGCAGGTCGGCGGGCTACCGAAGCGGGGGTGCCATCCCCTCCGCAGAGGATCAAAATTGGGATGGCATCTCTTCGGATCATCCTCCGGGATGTTTCCCAGACCGTCGCCAATAGCCCATTGTGCAGCTCTAGTGCGACGTAAATTAACAACAACAACAACGAAGTGACTCTTCCTAATTATACTGGTCGCATTCAATCTTGAGAGCTTTTCTTTTATAGAAAGGTAAAAAATCTACTTAAGATCTTACAGAATTCTTCAAGTTTAGTGGAACAAAATCGAGATGTAAGTTTTCGGGAATACTGTATATTATAAGAAAACAGGGAAGGCGTATTTTTTTTCTTTGCACTCTTTTCAGTTTATAACTTTAACAATCGATGAAAAATTGTTATGAACAGTCCTTCCGAACATCCATTTAAATACGTTTTCCCTCACATTTTATATAGGATAAAAAAAATATATACATTATTCGTAAAAATTAATTATATGTGTCAGTAAAAAATTATCCTGAAGTATAAGGAAACTATTAACTTAAAATTAATTCTGTTGTTAATTGCAAGTGTTTTTGCTGTCAATAAAATATATAAAAAAAATAACTACTAGTGTATTATTCAAGTTTTTAGTAAAAACGTATATATCAGTGTTCAGACACAGCTTAAAAAATTATTACTCTCTAAAAATGTCAATTTTTCATTATTTTGTGAATGAATAATCAATTTCTTCTACTACGAAAATGCCATCTTGCTATAAATGTCTATAGACAAAATCATTTATACCATTTTCAAAATGTAACCTTTCAGCAATTTAATTGACAAAATTGCAAGTAGATTCTTATGAACTTAAATTTTTGTTAAATGTAAATTTTTCTCAATTAGAGTAGGGTAAACCAACTAGTGAATGAACACTACCCAGTGAAGGAACATTTCATATATATTGATTAAAAATAAGAATTTGAAAGTTTTTCTTTAGATTGATTGGTAACAACAGCTTACTGCTAAACAATAGGAAGTCATATAGCAATGTTTTGGATTACCTGGTCAAATAGACTTTTCAGGAAAAAATTTTGAATTTGTTATTATCTCTGCAACACCTTGTTTCTTCGAAAAAATTATAAGGTGAGTGTTTGTATGTATATGTTTGAAGTGGAATTAATTGCATGTAATAGTTTTATTTGTCTCACTGTGAAAAGGAGAATTCAAAATATAGTTATTGAAGTTACGTTTTATTTTTTTTAAAGCATCATAGCGCAATAAAGTACTGAGATAAGGGCTGTTTATTCACTGGATCACCAAACGATGAAAAACCAGTGAAGGAACAAGTGTTCCTTTACTGTTTTTTTTTCTAAGTTAATGAAATTAAAGATAAACTTTAATTTTCTTGTACCTGATGTTCCGCATCAAAAGTATGTTAAAAATACGAAAAACAACTACTAACCAGAGAGGGAACAGGCATTTTCCTTTATTGGACATAGATTTCCCAATGAATGAACAGTATGTATTAATATGTTGACACTATAATTTTCAATTCATGATTACAAAAAAAAGTTAACATTTTCCAAGTATTTATATGTTATAATTTCAAGAATAGGCTTGTTTTTAAATATTTGTATGGCTTATATACTCATAAAGAGCATTAAAAATAACCAAAATTAAGTGTTCCTTCACTGGATGTTCATTCACTGGTAAGAGCTGTTCCTTCACTGGGTCTTCTTACTACTTGTTATTTGAATCTCCAAAACTTTAAAACAATATTATGTAAGTTCTCTACAATTTTTTTACATAATTTGCAATTAGTAACAAATATGTTGACACTGTCATTTAACTAAAATTACGAATTTTGAAATTAATATGATTTTGTGAAAGGTTAAGTGTTCCTTCACTGGTTAGTTTACCCTACATCTCAGATACTTATTTATAACTTTTACTCTTGAGAAAGACCTCCCTGCTGACAGAACAGATATAGTCTGAGTTACAAAAACTTATAAAAGACTAAAAATGGTGTTTGGATAAAGCTCAGACGTATTATTTGGTTATAAAAATTTAACAATTAGTTGGTTTGGTAATTGCTAAAACTCAGCAGCAATTTTTTGGTTCTTTCGAAAAATCTCACCATCAACAGAACAATGACTTTTCTGAGTCCTTGAGCAAAACATTAACGAAACTTCTAAGTAAAGGAATCTTTCAGAACCGCCTTAGATTTTCCCCAATTTATTGAGATCGATTATATACTTTAGTAATGATTTCCATTTTTTTTTAAGAAGAGGATTTTAACCATTCTATTATAATTATTTTTAATTTTATTTTGAAATTTTCATTATCGCAAAATGATATATTTGACTCGGAGCCGTTAGAAGTAAAAAAAGAAAAAGGTTTAGCGTAAGAGTCTCACTTTGAAAGCGCTTAAATCTGTTTTTTAATGATGTTTTTCGTGAATAAAAAATTTAGAAAACACTGCCTTCAAAAACCTTTCTAGGTCATAGACTACTGCATACAAAATTTAAATACTTTTGTATTAATAAAAGCATTAAAACTTCATTCGTTTTCATAAAATATCTTTAGTAAAAGATAAGGGTAGAAATTCTATTTTGGGACTTCAAGGCTAAAAACATGCCAATGAATAATAATTAGATTTATACTTCAAAAGAGAAGTTATTTTAAGATCTTTCACTTCCATATAAGGAAAGATTAAACGATTTGCTATGAGTAATAAATAAATTGATGAGGCGTAGGAATACAGAAAAAGGCAATAATGACTGACCTCTTCACAACTTTTAATCATCCTATAAAATGCAGGAGCAATGTTTTTGCGTGTGCTTTTTGTTGTTTATCATGCTTAAATAAAGTCCGTCAGCTTAGACGGGACATGGGTCTCACCCTATCTCCAGCGGGAGGGGGCTAAGATGTATGTTTTCACCATCGCTACTAAATAAGAAGAATATGCACAATATGGACTCGTTAATCATGCTGCTTTGACTACTAATTAACTAAAAAATAACGGTGTGGTTACACCGTTATTACATATATATATATATATAGCCCGACGACCTGCACGTGAAGTCGAGCACTTTACGGTAGAACAGTTTAACGAGGATCAATACCGCTCACCCTCGTCGGTCCCTACGCAAACTGATCCAAATGGTTACCCACCCGCACACTGGCCGTGACCAGTGATGCTTGACTTCGGTGATCTGCTGGGAACCATGTCTTAACGATCGGTTCACAGCGGGACGATCTTTTTTTGCAGATCTCAAAATAAAGCAATAAATTTTTAAAATATTTTCTAAAGAAGAAGGTGTTTGATTTTTGCTCGGAGCCTAGGTGAAGAAAATGACAATATTTGACCTAGTGTTTTTGCTTAATTATTTTTTTTCCATGATTGGAGATCGAAATGGTCTGCAGGTGGCGTAGGGCAGAACTCTCTACCTATTGCAACACTTTACATGCTTTCCCCATTAGCGTGTGGAGAGTCATAGAGGAAGGAAGTACGTTAGTTTCTCTCTATTTTCATATAGATTAAAATCTTTTAAGTTAGAAATATGTATGAAACTGAAAACTACATTAAACATAGTTCTAAAGAGAAGCATCATAGAAATTTTAAAAAATAATTTTATTAAATAAAAGGAAAAAATATTAAGAAAAGGAAAAATATCGCAGTACATTCTTATACAACTGAAAAGAGGAGGAGAAGGAAGGGAGAAGGCGCCAAAGGCATAAAATCGGTCTCTCCCCTGATGGCATATTCGAGCGTTGTGATCGCCAATAGATAAAACCTTATCAAGATTTTTTTCTAAATATTTCAAATAATTTTGATACAATGGTGAAATTTGAAAATATACTGATATGGTTATGATATTTATATTTTGATAATGAAAAGTTTACCATAGTATTTGGTTTAAATTAAAATAATGTTTGTGAAATTTAATGTTCTCATAATGTATGTATATTTTTGCGCCTTCAGCCATACACAAGTCATAGACCTTTTAAAGGGTGGACTCAATCATACGTCCATTCTTTCATTTTCAGATCGTAATTTAGACCTGAAAAATAGAACGATCAATCTCCAATAGAGTACTCCCAGAGGAATGATTTGTTATGGGAATATGGAGGACTTTGTGACCCCACGGACTTAACATGATAGTCACCATTCACCATAATAAGGAGTCTTCGGCTGGCGGGGATCGATCTCACGACCCCTTGACAATTGTCCAATAACCTACCAACCATGCTATTGCATTGTAATTTGCAATGATATTGTAATTTTTAATTATGATTGATGACGATACACTACTAAACTCGCAAATGATTACAAAATCTTTTGGAATAATAATGAATTATGTTTTCAGCTCAAAAGCATTGTTCATGTTAACAATCATCTTTATTAATTGAGCAATAAACCAAACTTTTGATGTCGTTGCACTTCGAAGAACTTCAAAGGATTAAAGCGGAATGTTGAGAAAATGGGACTTTGATAGAGTTTTCAATTAATCCTCTGCCATCCCCTGTGCAGAGGATCAAAATCGTGATGGCATGTCTTCGGATCATCCTCAGGGATGTTTCCCAGACCGTCGCCAATAGCCCATTGTGCAGCTCTAGTGCGACGTAAATGAACTACAACAACAGCAACGCAAGATGGTCAGATGGGCTCGGAACAACTGAGAGGCTCTCGCATACTGTGATTTTTTTCCGTCTTTTTTCCTTCTTGGCTCTTCTGTGATTTTTCTAGTTTTGTTTCTCATCTTTATTGTTCCATTTTTTTTAGTTGAAAACCATATTTTTTTCTTTACATTCACGTTTGGCAGACTTTTTTTAAGCACTTGAAATACGTCGACTGTTATTTCATATTGATGGAACTAGCCCGTATTTGTGTTACATGGAGATGAAAATCATGTAAAGTTCCCATGGTTAGCTTGAAGGCAAAGAAACTTCTACTCATGATCCGTCTACCACCGAGGATATTTTTCGTTAGCACTGTGGTAGGTGCGAGTCGAGTGCTGTAATATTCATTAAAGAAATACTTCAGTCAATGCAAGTCTTATTTCAAGTGCATTGCGACTACTTCGTTTAGTATAAGATACGGTTGAAAAGCTTCTCATTATAATTTTTGTATTAAAAAATTTATTTTTATTTCAGATAGATAAAAAATTTCTCAAAAGTTAAATAAATTCCAAACTAAACAAATGAAATGCGTATTTTAATTTACGATAAAAAGTATTAAGAACAATAATGATTCGCCAATAACTTTTAATCAAATATTATTTAATCGAATGATAATTTATGGAGAAATCGTAATTCTGTAAAAAGTCGAAACAATCATTCGAAACCGAAACTAATAAACAATCCTTTTTTCTGAATTTAATTGCTCTTAAATTAAAAATCAATGATACAATTGCATCAAATCGATTATTTTCTATCCTAACTAACTCTTCTATGTAATTAAATTAACTACTTAGTTATAAAAATTTGTCGTGAAATTTACATCACTTAAGGTTTAATGGGAAACGCTATATTATGGATTTAGCTTTAAACAATGTTTCATTTTATTTTATTTTATAAACGTTGTTGAACAGTTGACCCAATTTTGGGTTTAAGACTACTAATGTCCAACTTCGTAGCCTTGTAACTTTGAACAAAATCCAGAAGACAAGGAAACTCCTGGATCAGTACCTCCAGAGGTATGATTTGTTATGGGAACATGGAGGACTTTGTGAGCTGATAGATTTAACTTGCATCAGTCACCATTTACTACACGAGGAGTCCACTGCAGGTGGGGATCGAACTCACGAGCTCTTGGACACGGTCCTAATGCCTTAACAACAAGGGTACCCCGGTCCTCTAAATCTCTAAATAATGTTTGAAACGCTGAGAGGGAGGGGATATGGTCAACGTCATCACAAACCCTGTCCATTGTTCATTCTTACCCTTAACGCCCTCTGTGCTGTATGCATTCACTAAATACATATTGAGCTGTAAGCGTATGACATTTGGCTTGTCACTCCTCTGTTTCTGTCTAAATAAATATTTTTGTTTCTGTTTTGAATCTTGAATTATTCTTTCAAATGTAATTGCTTTAATGACTGTTATTTGGGAGAAAGCCTTCGATATTTGTGAAATATCACAAACAGAACAAAAAGATGGTTTTACAGTAAGAATCAACTTTTGTACACTGATTTTTAGTATGGTTCTAAAATTTGTATTCGTACATGCAGTATTATGATATGCTAAAGTATGTACGGAACAATTTTCTATAAATAATCCATCAACGTTTTAAAACTGGAAAACTCTTTTCCTGTTAATTGACTGTTACTATAAGGGAAGTATTTATTTATTTTTCTTCAGACTGACATCTGTGCATCCCATAAATAATTTTCTTAGTTCGTTCTGAAATGTTTTGTTTACTTGAATAATGGATTAAAAATTATGACTTCTTTCAAACGTAAAGAGATTGCTTACATTTTTGATGTTCAAAACACATATAATTTCACTCAAGGGATGATTATCATAACGACGGCAAGGCCAAGTGCCAATTTTTGATGGATTATAACTGCAAGGCACCCTTGATAATATCTCAATATAGTATATCATTGTTTAATGTTTATCAAGATAATATGTATCTAAATTTCCTTTGCCCTTGAGTTAAGGGTTCGGAAAATTAATTCATATTTTCTGTGGGGAAAATTTCCATGTTTGGTAACTTCTGGGCATTGCTGTCTACCCACCCACCTGCCGAAAATTCCAAATATTTTTTTTTAAAGAAATTACAGAAAAAGAGTTGGTTTTCCAACCTTTTTTTCCCCTTTTATTATTAGAGCCAGTTATTATTATAATTTTACAAATTTTTAAATATTTTTCTCAAGTTATTTTATAATTTTTACGCAAATAATAGTGATTACATGCTAAAAAGTTGAGCAAAAAATTTTTAATACATTTTTAAAATTTTTATTTTATGGAATATGATATTTTGAAGAATCATAAATATTTTAACATAGCAGAAATGGAACACTTTATGTATTTTACCAAAATATTTTAATTTTAATAATATCACATATAATATTATTTTTATAAGCAAATTCTGTAATTAACATTAATTAATGATATATCAGCAAAGTAAAAATATAATAAATGCCACATTTAGTTCAAAGCTCCATAATAGTGTCTTCTGGTTCTGCTTGATTTGTTAAATGTCTTTAAACTTAAACAAGCTGTTTCAGGACCCAAACTGTTTCTCAGTTTGGATCAAACAAGTCCACATGTAGAAAACCTGCATTCAGTAGCTGCTGAGCTTGCTGGACAGTCAGCTAACTGCACCATAAAATGGACAAATTCTTTTATATTTTCCGCCACACTTTTATTAAATAATGGGTGTGGTTACACACTTGATCTTTTATTCTGAAACACAGAACTGGAATTAGCCATTCAGCATTTTTCTTAGAAACCCAATCCTTTTCTCACATATTTAGAAAGTCTTTTTCTATTGTATTTTAGATTCAGCATATTAGCTATAGAGTGGAAAGGAGTAAGCGCTTGATTATAGCTCTTTTCAATAATTTTTTCATGTGGACGATTCTCATTAACTAGTTGGAAGTTCTGTGTTGCTTTTTGAATTAAAAGTTTTGTGTGACTGATAGTAACAATTAAAGGTCATCTCATTTTTTGTATACTGATAATCATCAAACTTAAATTGTAAAAAAGGAAAAAAGAACAGCTACTGGGTTGGAAAGTATATTAGGTGTTTTTTTTAATAGGACTGTCTTTCAGTTATCACCAAACCATATTTTAAAATATCTATAGTACAGAATTTATATAAAATTAAATTAATTAATTGAAATGGTTTTTGCTATATCTCAGTTTGGCTATATCTCATGTAATGAAAAATGAATTGAAGCAGTGTAATAATTTTATTTGTTTAAGCTTTTTAAAATAAAATTTATGTTTAAGTAATCTTTTAATATTAACACTGTGTGCTATTACATATTTAGTAATAAAATTATATACTATCAAACT